CACATTCCAAAGGATACACTGGATGCAGCTCCTGCCACCAGCGGAAGAAGAAGGTTTGGGTCTTGGTGCATGCTCACTGTGGCAATTATGTTTGATAGAACTCGATCTGTGATCTTTGGAATACTTTTCTCATCTAAGCTAACGCTATCTGTGCTAGCTGTTTGTGAGCTGATCTGTGCCAAAGATATATTGTGCAGTATTGTGCTACATTGGATGATTGTGTATCGCACAGTGCTGTGTCGGTTAATGTATTCTATTGATGCCCTGCACTGTGCTGGATTCTTCTCTGAATAGACTCTAATTGCCTTGAGGAACTCGTTCAGAGAGGCAACTAGCTCTTTTGTTCTGTAAATCCACAGCACAGTTTCATCTGTGAATATTTCATTGTAGTTAATGGATGTCCCTGATTTTATGTGAGCTATTCCATACTGGAGCACTCGGAATGCATTTTTGAACATCTTTACTTTTCTTCCCAGAATGTTCTTTCTTAGCTCTTCGTATATCTCGCCGTAAAATGTGCTAAATACATCAGGAAAGCTCTGCAGGCCGCAATAGTACAGCTTCATTCCTTTTTTAAAGTGTGTTTCTGTTTTTATCTTGTACAGGATTTCTTCTTTTCGTATCTCTTCTCTTCTGTTCTGTATTTTAAGTATCTCGTAGTACAGTGCTATGTTTGCTCTTTTTTCTCTCGGAATGTCTACCTCCAACAGCTCAGGCACTTCTTCACTCTCCAGCACTTTTATCATCAGGCCCATCAGACAAGTTCTTTCTTTTTTTGTTGTATTCTCACTGATTATCCTACTTTTTATTTCTTCCACTATTTTCTGTTTTATCCGTGTGTCAAGCATAGTCAGTCTTCCTATCAGCATACGCAGCTCTGAGCACGGCCTGGTTTTTATTATTCTTAAGATCTGTTTGTGGTAAATGCTTTTCTCTCGCTCTGTGAGATCTTCAGTGTCCACTAGGCTGAAGTATTCTTCCAGCTTCGTCTGTGATAAAATGATCCTTGAGAAGATGCTTTGTGTCTTACTTCCATCTATCCATTTCTTAACAAGGCTTATGCTAGCATCCTTTCTATTGCATAGCATCATCTTTATAACTGATGCAGCAGTTTCTTGGCTGATATTCTCTATTTCTACCAGATCCAGAGCACTAACCAGCCATTTATTCATCTGTTTTCCGCGGGCTACCAATGATATCAGCAAATTGCACAGAGTCTCTCTATTGCATCCTTTTGACATCCTAAGAACTGGCTCCAGACACTGCGAGACTGCATAGCAATCATCAGTGCAGTATAATTTCTCAACTTCCTGTATGTATTTCTGGTCTAGCTCTCCCGCACAGTACAGCATGCCTCCTGCCAGCACATACAGCGACAGATGAAAGGATCTATACTTCACCAACCGATTTAAAATGCTTTTGATGTCTCTGCGAAGTAGATAGGATATGACAGGACTTACTGACTTTATATCTCCTCTCTGCAGAACCACAAAAACAAGAGAAGCCGCACACGACAGGCTGTACAGATACTCGTTTTTATAGCAAGACTCCACTACTCTCTCCATCTCTTCAGGAGGAAGCTTGCTGAGAATATTGCCCACTAAGCGAATAGCTGCTATCTTTTGGAGGGAGAGATAGTATGGAAGAAAAGGAAGGAGGCTTTGGTAGAAGGCGTGGGATGTTTCAACTTCCTGTGCTAAATAAGAGAGTATCTGCATTGATGCATCGTCTTTTGACTTGAGATACTTTCTCGTCTCTTTGGCCACTATGCCCTCTTCCAGCTTACTCAGCAAGCTGCCCATGAGCTTTTCATTGCTAGGCAGCCCTTCAACCACTCCCAGGAAGACTTTGTATTGGCTTACGACTATTTTTCCATTCTCTATTGATTTTTGTATTATATTTTTAAGTATGGTGCTCTCTGCTGTCTTATCTTTATCTTTCAGCACGCACAGTATCATCCATATTTCGTCTTTATTGGAGTACTCTATCTCGCACACCAGGCGCCTTGCATAGTACTCGCCTATTTCTGCGCGCTCCTTCACTATCCTGTTGGTGACGTATTTTATGCTACATAGTTTATTAAGTTCATTCATGTGAAAAATTTTATCATGCCGTCAGAGCCAGAAAAGACCACAGCGTACAACAAGAAGCACAGAGTGATAGCCACAAATATGCCATTCAACATTTCAGACGAAGAAGTGCTAAAACACTTCAGAGGAGCAGTGGGCGTGGAAAGACACACAAAAAACGGAGTCGCCACCGGTGCAATGTTCATCCAGTGCGAAAACAGCAGCGATGTCAACAGATTCATCAAGACACTCGACAGCACTGAAATCAAAGGAAGAGAAATCAAAGTGTCCCAGCTGCACGACAAGGAGGTGTTCAAAGCAAAGCAGAAGTTTGAAGGCGCCGCAGACGAGAACAGCAAAGGAAGACAGAGACGCATTGAGTTCGAAAACACCCAGAGAAGAAAGCTCCCAGAAGGCGAAGAAGACAGAACTTTGTTCATCACAAACATTTCATTCAAAGACACAGAGGATGAAATAGTAGAGGTATTCGCACAGTACGGTGAGGTAGAGCAGTGCACCCTCGTAGTCAACAAGGAGACAGGTGCTCCAACAGGAAGAGCATTCGTTCTCTTCAAAGACGCAAGCAGCTGCAAGGAAGCCCTCAAGAGCCAGGTGGTTCTTAATGACAGAGTTCTTGTAGTGCTGAAGTACATCTCTCCAGAAGCTCTCAGAAGAAAAGAGCAGGAAAAAGAAGAAAAAGAGATACAAAGAGAAAAAAACATAAAAGACAGAAAGGAGGGAAGGCTGGAGCCAAGAGACCCTGAAAAGCTGAGCACCTGCAGAGTGCACATCTCGCACATGGACAAGAAACTCACCAGAAAAACCCTATCAAAAGCAATTGAAGAATACTTCCAGGCAAAGCACGAAAAGAAAGTGAAGCTGAGAGGCGTCAACTTGACAGCCAACGCAGCAAAGAGAAACCCTGGATACTGCTTTGTTACTTTTAAATTCCCAGAAGACGCAGAGACTTTCCTAAAGGAGCAAAAGGGGCTGCACAGAGAGTTTGGATACAAAATGAAAGCAGAGTACGCCATGGAGAGCAAAGAGTTCTTAGAGAAGGGAATAAAGAAGAAGCCTTCAAAGATAGATAGAATAGAAAAAAGAAACAGAAAAGAAGCAGCCGCCCAGAGAAAATAATTCCCTAGATGGAAATCTTATCTTATCTGACCATTATTTAGCTAACTAGATGAAATAACGGTTTTACTACTACGCAAATACTTAATAAAAAGTGTTTAAATTCATTCTTTTTATTTGATGCTTTCCAGCTCCTGCTCGGTCTTTGCAAGAATGGCCTTTGTGCTCTCCAGCGCCTTTTCTGTTTCTTCTCTTCTCTGCTCTATCATTCTTAGCACGTAGTAGTTGTCTTCCTTTCCTTCTGCGCTCTGTTTTTCTTTCTCCAGCTGCGACATTTCCTCTTCGTACGACTTAACATCTTTTTTCAGTCTTTCTATCGACTGCTCTTTGACTCTTATTTTCTTTTCCATAAAATAATTGCAGACCGGAAGAGTCTGAATAAATAATGCAACAGAAATTTGAATTTCCAAAGGGCTTTTCTGATGCGCTGCACTACCCAAATAAATTCCAAGTTGCAGTGGACTGTTTTTCTGCGCCAATTATCCCTGCGCGCAATCTCCTGAATCTCCCAAATGTTTCTGAGCGGTCAGATGCCTATCCCCTAGCGTGGCTGGTTTTATCCAGAGATTTGCAGCACGCACTGGCCTCTGTGGATACTTAAAACAGATACTCCCAGTCTCTAAAAGGAAATATCAGAGATACCAGAAAATGAAAAATATTCGCACTAATTCTCCAAATTAGCGCGCACACCTCTAAAAACAGAAATAAAAACAAAAGTGTACTAGCCCTTTCCGAATACATCTTTATTTAGTTGTAAGTAAGATACCGTGGCGTAGATGAGAACTTTGCATATCCCTTGATCACTTTCTCAACTGCCATCAGGAAATCTTTTTCAGTTGCCACTTTTCTTCTCTCTCTGATGGCAAACATCCCCGCCTCTGTGCACACACTGCGCAGCTCTGCTCCTGTTGCACTCGGGCACAGCCGGGCTATCAGCTCGTATCGAATGTTTTTTTCCACGCTCATGGGCTTTGTGTGGATCTTAAGGATTGCTGCTCTTCCTGCCAAATCTGGAAGTGCGAACTCAACTTTTCTGTCGAGTCTTCCCGGCCGCAGCAGAGCAGGATCGAGTGTATCTGGCCTGTTTGTCGCCATCAGCACTTTTATATTCCCCCTGGACTCAAATCCATCCAACTGGTTGATTAGCTCCAACATAGTACGCTGCACCTCGTTATTCCCGCCGTCAAATCTTGTGCTGCCAAAAGCATCTACTTCATCGAAGAATATGATGCATGCTTTCTTCGATTTTGCAAGCTCAAACAGCTCGCGCACCATCCTAGCTCCCTCTCCTACGTACTTTTGCACTAGTTCAGAGCCAATCACTCTAATGAACGTAGCATTGGCTCTGTTGGCCACTGCCCGAGCACAGAGCGTCTTTCCTGTTCCTGGTGGCCCGTAGAGAAGAACGCCCTTTGGAGGATCAATCCCAAGTTTGATGAACTTTTCAGGGTTCATTAGCGGCAGCTCAACAACTTCTTTGATTTTTTCTATCTGCTCTGCGCATCCTCCTATGTCTGCGTACGTTACGTCTGGCTTTTCTTCTATCTGCATCAGAGTCACTGCGTTGTCTATTTTTGCAGGGAGGGGGACCATTATCTGGTACTTCACTCTGTCCACTCCCACTCGGATTCCCTCTGAAATGTCTTCTTTGTTCAGCGACTTGCTTCTTCCCACGATAAACTTAGCAATTTGTTTGATGTTTATCATGTATCTGTCATTTCCTGCGGGATCCTCCATTACTTTGCAGCACCTGGCGACCTGCAGAGTCTTTTCCGTCTTGGCTCTCTGCGTGTCGCTTGCCAGATTCCAGAGCATGGGAGGCGCTAGGCCCGTTTCAACCTCTCGCAGCCCAAGCTTTGAGCTGACGCGCTCGTAGAGCCCCTTGACTTCCTTCTCCAAGTCGAGTATTTTGTTCGTGTAGTAGCTCTTCCCGTAATTTGTGATCAACTCAACTTCATTTTCGCTTAGTGCCTCTTCTGTAGCTTCTCTCATGCGAATAAAAACAAATTCCAGCAAATAAACAAATATTGAATTTCCAGCTTGGATTTGGAATTTGCGCGAAATTAAAATAAACCAATCAAGAGAGGAATTATCAGTCTCCATCTTTATACAGAAAATAAAAGGGGATTTATAAATGGAAAAGAAAGAGAGCAGTCGAACACTGGAAATGTCAGAAATATCAGAGCGACTGAAGAACCAAATAATCAACGGATGCGGAGGGAGCTTGTGCACGGGGATCTTCTGCAAGCTGTCGGATATTGATGAAATAGTTGATGAAATAGCTGGACTACTTCTGGAGTACGGAGACTATTTTACGTGCGATTCGCTGTACTTTGTGCACGGGAGAACCGTCCACGAGGCAGAGACAGAGAACAAGAACACAATGCGGCTTGGACTCCATCCGAATCTCAGCACGTCATTCCTCCCGCAGATAAACAACATACAGCACACGCAGACAGCTGAGAAAGACCACAAGACGCAGACTAGAGGATCTTTGGCGATGGCTAAGAATGTTCTGAAGTACTTCTACCTATCAGTCCGAAGTAACGGCCACATGTCGCACTCTGCAAGCCCTCTGATCAGAACAGACGGATGCTTCTCCGCAGGGGTATTGCCTTCTGGGGAAAATCAATTTCGAATAAAGAGATGCCCTGATGAAAATTCCAAAAAAGAATATTTGAAAATGGAGCTTGCAAGGATCATTCATAGAAAAAAGCCAAAGTCAACGGCAATCATGCTCCAGGGCCTTTTTTACCACGAGCTAAACAGGCTGCGCGTCTCGTACTCTGTGCCCACCACTGTGCGGATAGTAAAACTGTTCAATGCGGTGAAAGAGTGCGTGAAGTTCGAGAAAAAATACTTCATCAGGTTCCTGGAGGCTGCAGAGAAGCTGTGCGATGCAACAAAAGCTGAGAGTCTCCTGTGCATGGAGGGATGCAACAAGATGGTGGGCGGGCTGAGCTACAACAGGCAGCCAGAGTGCGGATTCAAAGAAGAAGAAGAGTTCCCCATTTCCAGAAACTGCATTCCGCGAAAGGAAATATCAGCGAGAGTCCTCGAGGAGTGTCCAACATGCAATGGATCCCTGGAGGACTGCGAGTATCCCCACTGCGATACGCTGTGCTACGGGTCGAATAAGCTGTGTGTCAATGAGCTGATAGATCTGATCAAAAGCCTGATCATTGTGATCGACAATACGAGCGTGATAAACATGAGGGAGGGAACACTTCTCCTGGCAATTCTGAAGAGTCTCAGAGCCCTCTACAGGTTTTCAGTGGAGACAGGAATCATCCACCACTCCATATTCATCAATCGCAGATTCTCCAGGCTCCTTAATTACAAGGTGGAGATTCGGTACCACAAGGAGGGAGGGCCCAGCATATTCGACTTCCCTTTTATTTTGGACATGGCTGCTAAATCAGATCTTATCCAGATAGAAAACACAGACAGAATGAAGGCAGAGCTGCAGGATGCGTTCTTTAGATCGCTGTTTGAGGGAAAGATCCCGCCGTATCTAAACCTGGAAATACACCGTGAATCAGTGGTGCAGGACTCTCTTAAGCTTCTCCAGTCGATAAAAGACGGGATGGCGTGGAAGCAGCTGAAGATAAAGTTTCGGGGAGAAGATGGGGTAGACTCAGGAGGAATAAAAAAAGAGTTCTTCCAAATACTCAGCCAGAAAACGCTCGGTGAATGGGACATATTTAAAGACGAAGGGGGCATTCTGTGGTTCAAGCTTTTCTCTCCCGAAGAGATGGAGGCAAGAAGGCACCAGTACAGGATCCTTGGGAGCATTTTGGGCCTTGCTGCGTACAATGGGGCTGTGCTGTGCTTCTACTTCCCGCAGGTATTTTACAAGCGGCTGCTAGGATATGCTGGCACTCTGGATGATTTGAAAACAGTGGAGCCAAAGATCTACCAGACGCTGACTCAAATGCGGGACATGTCTCCTGAGGAGATTGAATCGCTCGGACTGGAATACGCACTGAATGGAAAAGTGTACGGAGTGACTGCGTGGAACTTAGAAGAGTTTATTGAGGTGTACTGCAAAGAGATATTGGAGGTGCGATTGGAGCCTGCTTTCAACCTGATCAAAGACGGTCTGTGGTCCATCTGCGGAGACACGTTTATTCGGTCTCTTCTCCCGTGCGAGCTGAGCATACTGATAGGGGGCATGGAGTGCGTAAACATGGAAGAGATTGAGAAGTACACTATCTACAACGGGTACAGGAGAGACTCTCCGTTTGTTCAGTCGTTTTGGGAGATATTCAAGCAGTACGACAAAAATATGCAGAAAAAGTTTTTAAGGTTTGTAACGGGAACTGATAGAGCGCCATCGGGTGGCCTGAGCAGAATGGCTCTTGTATTTATGCGCAACGGTGGAGATACAGACAGGCTGCCGTCCTCTCAGACCTGCTTCAATACGTTCCTTATTCCGGAGTATTCGGACAAGAAAAAGCTGAAAGAAAAGCTGGACTTAGCAATAAGCCACACGGAGGGGTTCTTCCTTCTTTAGTATGCGAATAAAAGAGAATTGGGCTATCTTATTTTTCAGTGCTTTGTTTCTTCAGAGATTCTGTTCTTTATTTTCTGTATTTTCTCCTCTGTGCAGTGTAAAATTAAATGGTTTATTTTTTCTTAGTGCAGACTAGTTCTCAGAAAAAGTGTACACGATAAAAATAGTGCAGAAGTGCAAAATTTTCAAATGGCCAAAACCAGAAAAAAAGACAAAACCAAGGGAAAGCTGTGCAAAGAAAAAGTAGATACAATTGAGTTTGTGGCTGAGGAAAGAGAAAACTACCTCAAAGCGCTGAGCAAAAGAAAAAAGACAAAAAAGAAGCAGCACTACATAATGATCGAGGAGCAGAAGAAAGAGGCGAAGAGAGAAAAGAGAAAAAGCCACAGAATAAGAGAAACAGAAAGAGCAGACATAGCGCAAAGAGTGCTGGACTCAGCCATGCAGCGAGAAGAAGAAAAAGAAACAAAGATAGGAAATTCTATAGTAACCATTAGAGAGCTCTAGAAGCAGATTAAAGAAAAGGCCAAGACACAACCTCCAGAGACTTAGAATAGACAATAAATATTTAAATAACCGTTAGAGTAACACAAAGAGAAAGATATTTAGCCAGTGCCATGTTTATTACCTACAACCTATTAATATTTATAGACATTCCGTCCATGGACATTCTGCTCCTGTACAAAACTGTTTCCAGCGGGCGGACATTTGTTATTTTCATTCCTATGATCCCCACAATGCTCGAGTGTGCTGAGTGGTTTTGAATGAATATTATGCAGCTTTTGTCTTTCAGCTTACTTGCCCTCACCACTGCTTCATTTACATGCCAATATCTCGTATTGCTCACCTTACCGCATCTCTTGACGCTTCTTCCAACTGGACTTCCAGTTGATAGCGCAGTTACCAGGTGGTCAAGCAGCAGCGCTTTGGACTCAAATAGACACTGGCTCCTAAGAGAGCTTATGGCCTCCCATTTACCCAGGAGACTGTACTGTTTTTCCAAGCTTTTATCCAGGGGAATTTTAACGGCTAAAACAGTATTGCGCATGTGTATTACTAGAATGGGAGACAAACCCGTGTAGATGGGAAGCGACTCAAGGAGATTGGCTCCATCGATGGGCTTAAATGGCTTTAGTAGCTTAGTAAGTCCGCTGTTTTTGTAGAAATAGTATCGAATGACTTGCTCTATTGGGGAGCACTCTTTCTCTAACTTGCCATGTGTTATTAGGGAGTAAATGCCTCTTTCTATTTCTGTTACTTCCTGCTGCTCCTCGAACACTATGTCATCCGTGTCTTCTGAGGCTATTCTTCTATTTAGCACTCTTATCCTGTCTTTTTTCTTTATTCCGTTAACTACCTCTACCTTCCTGTGATATCCAGAGACTTTATACACTATGTCAGCATTTTTCTTTATTGTGTACGACACAATTGGAAGTTTGCAATCAATGAACTTGTGGTTTGTCACAACTTGTATCCTGCGCCCCATCCAATCTACGCCACAAAACACCTTTCTTCTGACATTCTTATACCCTTCTGTTCTCCCTGGGTGTGTAATTAGCACGTCATCCGTGCGGGAGATAAGACCCTCTGTGATTATTTTGCTCATTCCATACGGGGATACTTCTTTGCTGTAGTAGACCTGGGGCTGTACGTACTTTTCAGGCAGCACAAGAATATCCCTGTTTAGCCTTATGATGAAGTGTGCAATTGCTGTCTTTATTACAACCTTTCTAACGGCTACTCGTCTAACTTCAGGTTTTTCACCGTTATTGGCTGTGCTATTCTTCAGAGACATTCTTACCTTTCCATTCTTGTTGATTTTAACCAATTTCCCGTCTATCTCCAGCAAGACACTCTTTATGCACTGTATTTCCCCAGGGATATTCACCGTAAGCACAACCCGCTCTCCTGAATAAACCGTGTCTTTTTCCTCTACTGTTCTGTCCATATACTTTATTCTAGCTGCATCTAGCTGCAATTCCAGTTTTTCAGCACTGACATCACTGCCATTTTTGCAATTACTCTTCATAGTAATGCTAGGTGGAGTCTTTATGCTTCTATCAACCCAGACAGCTCCCTCATCTCCTGCTGCTATGACTATCTCTGGATCATCCATAGCTCTAAGGTACCTTTGAATGGCTATCAGGTGCTTAGTCCAGTTGCTTCCCTTAGCCAGTTCATCCACTGCATCAGTTGGCTCTTTTAAGATCGTAGATACCTCCACTATTCTCCTGCACAGCTCTTCTCGCACTGTAGGAGTGTCAGTTAGCTTTTCAGCTAGATAGTACAGATGCAATCCACACCTTGCATACCCCCTGAAGAGCTCGCTCTCACTGGAGTGCGCACAGTTTTTATCGACAAAGATCCCTGCAGCATCCATCAGCAGCATAATCTGTGTGCTATCTACCTCTTCTATCTCTTCCAGCAGGTTAATTGCCATTATATTCAGCAGCACCCGAACACCCGGCTCATCCACACACTCAATTTGCATGCACTGTCTTGCCAGCGTAAACAGAGCTTTACTCCTTCCCTCCTGTGATAGATGCTTTATATTCCTGTAGAGAATTAGAGCGTATCGAAGAGAGCTAATGAATGGCACAGAGCTATCCAGGACATAGTACTCGCTGTCTATTTCACCACCCGTCTCTACAATTCGTCTGATCATCATCTCAGAGAGAATCGGGTGTTTATCGTCGCTTCCTATTATCTCAGAAACCACATCAAACATCTTCTCCGGGTTGTTGCTTAGCCCCAGATAGAATGCTCTCTCTATCAGCACTTTCTTATCACTGATGATGGCTTTGCCCAGGGACCAAAGGCTCGAAAAAGAGAACCCAGTTTCTACCTTGCTGCGCACTGTCTTATCGATTACTTTCCTGCACTGCGCTTGAACACTCTCCTGCGAGAAAAAAGAAGGAAGAGCAATGTCGCAGTGCTCTCCCTCTACGCCAATGGAAAGAGGAACAGGCGAGATTCCATCAATAGAGTACTCCACTACTTTCATCCACAGCCTATCCAGCATTCCATCAAGGACACTCTCTCTTACTAAATGCATCTTTTTTCTTTTTCGCTCCACCCCTATTTCCAGAGAGCCTATGGCATCTGCTAAGCTGCAATCATTTGATGGCACACTTATGTTCGACAGAGCAGAAGAAGTACGGGAAAGACCATTAGAACTGCAATCATCCGTAGGCAGCAAGCCCGCACAATCAGCCACCGCACTGCTCCTTTGAGGCGTGCTCTCTCTGAAGTTACCATCGCTATTCTCTTTTTTATCTTTCCTATCTGCGGGGCTCAGCTCCTTCAGCAGCTCTCCTTCGATTATTCTGTCCACCTCCTCCGATAAGTCTCCATGAGCGTACTTTCTATCTGTGAAGTGTCTCGTAAGTGCGCTCTCCAAGATTCTCTCTGCTTCTTTGCTGCCTGTCAGCCTGTCAAGCACTAAGTCGCTCACCGCGTATACCACGGGCACTCTAAAATATTTCATGAAATTGTAGAAAATGATTTATTTATTCGTCTGCAATGACTATTTCTCCCTGCTGGATTCTTCTAGTAATTTCCTTTGGAGACTCTCCGTCTACGAGACAACCGACTGAAAGGCATGTACCAAGGACCTCCTTCACCACCCCAGAGAGCTCTCTGGCGTAGGACTTGGATCTCTGCTTCTTTGCGATTTCAATGACTGCCTGCAGAGCAAGCGATCCATTGTGCTGGACGTTCTTTTCCTTCTTTCTGTTTCTTGGGGGCTCCTTCAGCTCCTTCAGAATCAGCGCTGCTGTTCCGGGCTCTGCAGTGATTTCCATCTGTCTTCCTTGGATGGCAAGCAGCACTCCAATTTTGTACCCCATGTACTCTTTTGTCTGCTTGGCAATGTTCTCACCGACCTGCTTTGCGTTGAATCCCAGAGGCCCCACTTTCTGTGCAAGAGAAGCGCCTCCTGCAGGCTCTCCGCCTACTACTCTCAGTCTAACGTATTTTATTTCCTCAGTCTTGTTCATCCCGGGTATAAAAATAAAATAAAAATAAAATGGAGAAAAAAGAGCGCAGCAAAATAAAATAAAATAAATTTGAGGATTCGGATGGAGAAATTACTTGAAGCAACAGACCAATTTGACGTAGAGTTGTTCGACAGCGTGATAAGAGCCTTCTACAGCCCAGGAGACAGGGAGCACAAGAGAGCAGAAAGTGTGCTGCTTCAGTTCAGAGAGCATCCTGATAGCTGGGCAAGAACTGCAGATGTCATAAAAGAGAGCAAAGACAGCAGATCGAAGATATTCGCAGTGCAGGCTCTCGAGAGAGCAGTGAAGGTGCGGTGGAGCATGCTGACAGAAGAGCAGCAAAAAGGTGCTCGGGAGTACGTGGTGGACAAGATACTCGAACTATCGATGGCCTCAACTCCTGAGGCAAAGGTGCTCGTAAAGCAGTTTAACCAAGTGCTGATTGAAGTGATAAAGAGAGAGTGGCCCAGCAAATGGCCTACGCTTATTACAGATCTCCTGGAAGCGAGCAGAGGAGACTGTGGTATATGTGCAAATAGTTTTAACCTTCTTGCGCTGCTGTGCGACGGGATATTCAACTTCCACGAGTCTCTGGTCAGTGAAAGAGTGGCTGCCCTGCAGAGCCAGATGAAGAACGAGTTTCATGCGATTTACGAGATAGTCACAGACATTTTGGACAAAGTCAGCACGGGAGAGATAGCAGTCCCGAATGACTTGGTTCTTTCCAGTTTAAACTTGCTGAGGATTTTGGTGCCTTTCTTCTCCTCTGAGTATTTATTCCAGTACAAACTGGTGGAGATCGTCTCCAGATACATCGAGTCAGAGTTCATTGTTCCAGCTGTGCAGGTCCTCAGAGGCATTCTGGCACGGGCCGATGATGCGTCCTCTACAGCGCTTTTTATGGAGTCTCTGAAGAGGTGCTTTGTCGTTATAAGCGCTTTCTTCGAGAAGTACTGCCACAAGTTCAACCAAATGCACACAGAGGGCATGCACGCACACTACGACTCTTTCCTGCAGCAGGACGTAAACCTGATCAGAGAAATAGTCTTGTTCTACGGGCTAGCATACAAGTATGCAAGAGAAATGGAAAAGATGCACTGCAACACAAAAGTGCCTTTGGGCCTTATGCTCGAGATATCCAAAATATCTGACTTTGAGCTCTTCCGGCTGTGCTTGGAGTTCTGGTCGATGTTTGTGAAAGAGCTCTTCCTGGAGTTTCCCTTTGTCCCTGCATCCACGAAGTCCCCAGCTGGCCTCAGAAGAGTGCACTACGCTGAGGAAATGAGCGCCCTTGTGCCTGTCCTTGTGGCGCAGATGCAGAGGCCAGAAGAGGTAATCATTGCAGAGAATGAAGACAACGAAATAGTACTGGAGAAGCTAGTGGACACTGAATGCATCCAGCACCACAAAGAAATGAACGAATTACTGTACAATATCTCGGCAATGACGCCGGGAGGACTGGGCCCATACTTCTGCAGCGAGATATCAAAGCTTCGCTCAGGGCCATGGACCAGAGAAAGACTGAACAAAGTCTCTTGGGCAGCAGGGAGCATTGCAGGCACGTCAACTGTCATTGCAGAGAAAGAGTTCCTCACGCAGGCCATCCAGACGCTTCTATCTATGTGCGAAGAGGCCACAGAGGAGGGAAATAGAGCAGTGGTTGCATCGTGCTTGATGTACATCCTTGTCAGAAACCCTGCATATCTCAAGACGTATCCTCTCCTTCTGGAGGCTATATGCAACAAAATGCTCCAATTTATCATCGATGTTGATCTCGTGGGAGTGCCTGAAATGGCGTGTGACACTTTGCTTAAGCTCATGTCATCGTGTGCTGAAGTGCTGAGGATTCCTCTCTCTCCTGATAGAGAGTGCTATGTCACGAGCGTATTCCCGCAGATTCCCAAGATCCTCAGCGTGCTTAAGCCGTACTTATCTGAGGTGCTATTTGAAGCGCTATCTTATCTGTGCTGTGATTACGTTGATAAACTGCTGCAGCAGCCTCTGATGGACTTATTCACACCGGGTGTAGACACCGCAGAGGGCGTTCTGCGGATAGTGCATGCAGTGAGACTGGTCAAAGTCGTGTGCTCAGTTAATGTGTCTGAAGAGTTCTTTGCAGCACGAGAGATTGTCATTGGAAGAGCCCTGGGGCAGCTGCAGAACATATACAGCTCCCTGCCTACAGCATCTGTGCATCCTCCAATGCTCAACAGAAACATACAGATACTTCGCAAAGAAATTGTCATACTCTATGAAATTATTGCAAAAGAGTTCTCAGTGGAGTTTATCCTGGGAAGCTTCATTGAAGTTTGCGCAGGAGTGATTCTACCGCCTGTGCGCGCAGGACTGGTCTCTCCCGTGGAGACTCTCGATCTCCTTGCAGAGCTCTGCAAGAGAACAGTGGAGGGCACAGCTCCTCTGGTGAATGAAGTGGCTGCCCCGGTGGCGCAGTACGTATGGGCAGATCCAGACGAGAAAGAGGAGCACATGAAGGCTTTCTATCGAATGCTGTGTGCTGCTGTCAGGTCTAATCCCGTGATGAATAGCCTGCAAAAGATCGAGTGGCTGGCGCTTGGAGCAGGACACGCGAATAGAGAGATATACGAAGAGTCCATTGAAGTTCTTGCAAAGGTAATAGAAAGATCTCCCATTGAAATCATTAGAGACGCGTTCCTGGGCCTGCTAGAGTGCATCCTTGGCACAGCCCTGGACAAGGACCACGAGGGAGGGATGAGCTCTCTTCTGGTTTCTCTTTCTCTCCTGGTGAAGTACAGCATCGAAGAAAAGTGTCCAACACAGAACCAGGTGCTGGAGGTGTTTGGGAGCAAGCTGCACGGCATATTCCCGCACATCAACCCAAAAGACATTGAGGACTTTATATACAGGTGCTATAGAGACGCCAACTCGCATGAGGGCCTTCTTACAAACATAAACGACTTCCGCGTGAAAATCAAAACCATCTAATATCTTATCTAAGTACAATAAAAGCATCTTTTATTATCTCGTGTTGTGTATCAGTTTGCACTACTGGCTGTATACTTAGCTATCTCGTGCATCACAGGTGTAGTAGGATGATAGCTACTGTTTTTCATTTATTGCTGGTAAAAGAAGTATATAGAAGTGCGTGCTTCTATATGAGAGATTAAATAAAACCTGAGATAAAATTATTAAGATTGCTAAAACTATGCAGATCCTCGGAAAGAACATCAGATCTTTCAATGGTTATCGACTCTTATTCCTCTCTAGTGTTTTTCATTGATTTTACTGCTATCTGTTTTTATTTTAATCTTGATGTAAAAGTGCATAGGCATAAAAGAAAAAGAAACTGTAAATATTATGTACAGACAGTTTAGTTATTTATTTATTTGGTTTCTCCAACTCACTGGAAAAGGTTGACGACTGAAGTATTTCATGAAGTAGCTTAGATATTGAGGTGATACTTGGGTTTCTTTCGTGCATGATGGCCTCTGAGAGCATCTCCAGCATAACTGCCCTAAACTCTTCTTTTACACTCTCTACCTCTGGCCCTGGCTGTGCTTCGTCAGCACTCTCCAGAGATAAGTTCATTTCCCGGTATCTTTGCTCGAGCTTATCTAGCTTCTCTGCAAGCCTCTGCTTTATTCTCTCCACTGGCCAGCCTAGAATGCTCTCTTCATCCAAATACTCTCCCACTTTCCTGTCAACCACCAGCTTGCACTGAAGAGCTGTCTCTTCGGAAAGCTCTCTCTCTTTGCTCTGCGAAGCCTGCACAAAGAATGCGTCAAATGGCTCGACTATGTTCCTTTTTAGGTATTCTGCCAGCTCATCCACTGCTTTTCTCTTCAGTGTCTGTCCTTCCTTGCTTCCCATCGGCCAGACTCTCTTACTGTTTTTGCACGTCTTCGAGTCATAAGCTTTGCTCCACCACATAAACTGTTCGCAGAAACTCGTGCAGTCAAATGCGAGCCAGGACGTAGTCTCTCCCTTATCTCTCCTCGTTTCCTCTTTATACATTTCAGATAGCCTTCTGTACACTTTTCCATACAGCAGCTCATCCTGCGCCAGAGATATTTCCAGCTTGCTTCCTTTGTCCAGCAGCAGAGCATTGTAGAATGCAAGGGTTTCCTTGAACACTCGAAAGAGGCCCATTGACAGCTGCCCCACTGCCATAATTATGCATGCATACTCTTTTGTTCTTTCTGGGCTTTCAGATAGCACAGAGACGCCTCTTGCAAATTTCATATTAAATATAAACAAGAACATCTATATACTTGCAGAGAATTGCTAATTTTTTCAGTCATACTCTGACCCACTGCTAATTTCTTGTTTGGACAGAGTTTCCTAATACAGCTCCATGTTTTGTATGAGATCAAGCATCCATTTTTCGTCCTGTGTGTTTCCAAATGCAGGGCATGCCTTGAAGAGCTCGGAGAGACTTTGCTTGATTTTTTCTGCGTCTTCAAACTGCAGTCTGCCTTTCTGGAGATGCGACAGGGCATTTCCGAGGAATATTGTGTACTTTTTGCGCATTGTCTCTTTCTTCCACCGCTTCCCCACAAAAGAAACCATCTGCTGGATGAACATCACCAGAAGATCATTCTCTAGATCTATCTCAGCATCAGGGGGCAGCTTGTCGAGGAGGAACAAAAATGCCTCGGGATCATTTGACTCCAATACATAGGAGAAGCACTCTGCAATGTCTGTCTCCAGCAGGTGTATTATCATCTCAGTGGGATCCTCTTCTATGTGGTTGTAGTCCTTCAGAGTGTCTGCTATATGGTCGAGTGTTTCATCTTTGCTTTCTGACAGGTCATCGTCTAGTCTTTCCATCCCCATTGGAATCGCCTGCATCTTTCCAATGACCTGCAGCCGTATCTCGTTCATTCCATTCTCGATTATGGGCACTATCCCCTCCACCACTGCGCTCTTCAGTGACCGGTTTATCGCCTGGTTCAGCGCCTTCCCTTCGATCGATGACATAATGGTGCTGTTGCACATGTTTGCTATTTCGTGCATTTTTTGATCTATTTTGAACGCTAATATTTTTTCAATCTTCTGGAGCAGGTGGACTCGCACTTCTCTCTGTATGATGCTTTCAAATAAAACAGCTACGTTTTTGTTCAGCTGTTCTGAGACTGTCTTCAGCAGTCTGTCCATGCGTATCTGCTCTTTCTCCTCTCTTTCCTTTATCATCTCCTCTAGTTTTCCGTACAAAACAGAAAACTGTGTAGCTACGTTCTGAGATACTTCTGTGTCTCTTTCGCCTTTGTTAACTAAGCCTGCATCCAGCTGCTTGTCTGAGTGTATCATAATTAAATTATTGAAAAAGAAAATAAAGAGAAATAGAGCGAATCACCCTGATGCCATTTAGTTACGAATGGATGCCTTGCTTCAGTTTTTGGAGAGTGTTTTGGGCTTCTTTTGTTTTAGCAGAAGATCTTTCCCTGGCTCTGGAGAGCCTTCGTCCAGCTCGGCAAAGACGACTTTTTCTTTTTTCCCGGCACTCTCGCTTTCTCCCGTCTTCTCTGCGTCGAGTACGAGCACTCTGTCCATCATACTAGCCACTGCACTCGAGTGGGTGATGAAAATAACGGTCTTATCCGTTGATACTAAATGCGAAATTATTTTTAATTCTGCTGCAGAGTCCATTTTAGACGTAGACTCATCAAGAATGATTATGTCCGTGTCTCTTAGAAGACACCTTGCTAAAAATACTTTTTGTTTCTCTCCTCCCGAAAGGTTTCTTCCTAGGCTTCCCACATTGTACTCCAGCCCGTCTTTTTTTGAGCTTATTATTTCACTGACCTGTGTTTTTTCTAGGACCATTTTTAGCCTTTCCTTGCCGGGACTGCTTCCATATTCAATGTTGTATATCAGGGTGTTGTTGAACAAGCAGCTCTCCTGCGGAACTATACCTATTTTTTCAGTGATCATGTTTTTTGTCATCTCAGAGATGTCTATTCCATTCACTCTGATTGTTCCTGTGTATGCGCACTGCTTCAGAAGGAGCGACAGAAGGGTTGTCTTCCCGCATCCACTGCTTCCCTGGATGGCTACTTTCTCTCCCTTGTATATCCTGCAGGAGAACCGGCTTATCAGCTCTTTTGTCCCATGGGTGTGCGAGAATCCTACATTTTCAAACTCAACAACTGTTTTTTTGTCTCCACTGCAGCGTGCGCTAATATTTTCATTTTTATTTTCTACATCCATATTCTCTGCTGAGTCTTTGTCTTCTTCTGACTCGCATGCATCAGCGGTAGAAGGAACCACGTCAGGCTGTGTGCTCTTTGAAAGACTGTCAATGTAGTTTATGTACGCCTCACAGTCCACATAGCACACAAAGATGTCTTTAGTAGCCAAGGCGATTTCCATCAGATTTTTATCAAGTTCTTTTATGTACTGTATCAGAGTCGACCCAAACTTCAGCAGGTCTTTCTTCTCAACGCTGTTGTACAGGTAGATCATGGCAGTGATCTGCAGGACTGTGTATATAAACTTCTGTATTACATTCAAAATTGACACAAGCAGTCTGTCATTGAATGTCACTCTGAGATACTTTTGCATATATCTCTCAAACTGCCCTGTCTCGTACTCTTCGGTATTTGCTGTTAGAATCGAGTCTTTGTTGCTTATTCCCTCTATGATCTTGTTGCTGTACAGGTCGTCATACCTGTTCTTTAAGATTTTGTTTTTAATTCGTATTTTCAGCAGTAAGTAGCTTATGAAGATGTACAGCAGGTTGAACAGCGTTATTATGACCAGATAGTTGCGATCGAGCTCAAAGAGCTGAACATGCACTATCACTGTGCTTATCATCCTGTACACAATAACCACCAGTAGCTTCGTAAGGAGCTCCTTTATGCTTCTGTTTCCTCTGTCCACTATTCTGTTGATTTTAACCGAAGAAATGGGAAGAGTTGTGTAAATAGTGCTGTTGAACAGCGCTACAGAAATATTGTCGAGCGTGTGGTTGACGAATAGGCAGAAGAGAAGAGAGTACACCTCGCGAAGCACCGAAGCGGCAGTCACAAAGAGCCCAGAGTATATGGCTGTGTATATCACTGTTTTGTCCTGGCTTGCCAGCTGCACCAGAACATCAGACGTGCACCTTATGCTGAAAACCATCGCAGTGCTGCACAGAATGCAAATAGCCAGTCCTGAAGCCAAGAGAAATGCCGAGTAGATTGCGCTTGTTGAGAAGGAGAAGCCAAAGAGGCCTTTGATGATCATCAGACACACAAAGATGTTCCTTTTCTTTGCAAGCGGCTCTTTTGCCTTTTTGCCCGCGGGCTCCTCTATCACAGAGAAATCGTCTTTCGTGCGAACTAGAACGGAAAACTCTTCGTTCATTTTTGCTCCACGAAAAATCAACTCTTAAAAGCCCGCATGGCAGCCTAAGGAGAGGTGTCTCTTTCTGTCCCTCTTTGCAACCCGGTTAGCTCAGTCGGTAGAGCATTGGACTTTTAATCCAAGGGTCGCGGGTTCGAGTCCCGCATCGGGTGATTTTTTATAAAATGCAGAATTTTAGCACCATGTCAATGCAACATTCTGGAGCTCTTGTGGCTCTTGACACAAATGTTCTTATGGGAAAGCTCGATGTCGTCAAAGGCCTTTCTTTTTTGATAGAAAACATAAACATGGGGCTCTTTATCCCGTGCACTGTCATGCGGGAGCTCGATGCGAACAAAGTGCGCGTCAAAGGCGCAAGAGATGCCATTGTCTTCATAGAGCAGGAGAACGCAAGAGTGAACAGAAAAATATTTCTGGAGCCTGCAGTGTCCGAAAAAGGAAGAATCAACGATGACACAATTGTTCTTTCGTGCAAAAATAACAAAGTTATGCTCTTGCTCAGCGATGACACTGCGCTGAGACTCAAGGCAAACAACGCAGGGTACAATCTAAGCTGCATATCCGTGGAGGGGAAGAGTGCAGAAGAGCTGTTCAGCGAGATAGCAAACTTTTTCAGAATCGAGTTTATGGACTTTGAGCTGAAAGAAGACACAGTGGGATCTGTAAAAAAGCTGACTGCAAAAATTGCATCAGTGATCTACCACGAGAAAGTCTACCCGGTGGTTGAAAGAGAGCTCGGGCGGGATCTTCTTCCCTTCTATCTCCCCGAGGGATTAGACCAGTCTCTCTCTTCTCTGCTTGCGTATGTCTCTAAAAACTCTCACCTCTTCACGAGTACTCTTCCGCGATCTTCAATCAAAATTATATCCAAGCTATCTAGTAAAAAAGTAACCACAGCCGACCTGCAGCTTATCCTGGATATTTTTGGAGTTTCATCCGAGGGGTGGATTTAACCTGAAATATTTAATAAACAATGGATGAAGAGTATTTTAGCACGTGCGTGAGCTCCTGTGCAGATGCCCACTGGGCCTCCAAGAAAGGAAAAGTGTTAATGAGAGACTGCGAGTTTGGGACTACCTGCATGTCTGATGAGGTTTATACGAACAAAAAAATGCTGGGAGCTTTAATTCACGTTTTGCCTTCAAAAAGTCTGCCCTTATTCCCCATTGAGATGAGGCCTGCACTCCTGCGGCCAGTGGGCAGTGTGACTTGTGCTCTAATTGACACAGGGCGCTTTGACACTGTGCCTTTCATTCGGGTCAGCACTCTTTACTACGTGGGAGAGGATAATAAAAGGGTAAAAGTGCCAAACACCAGAGAAGAGCTGGCATTCTGCAGAGATATTCCTGCGGAAGATAAACTCGTTATGTACAAGATGGGCATGGAGTCTTTTGAGGACAACTTTCTGTGTTTATCGCACAAAACGAGAGAAATACTTCTTGGAGTCTTTGAAGAGACAGTTGGAGTAAAAGAATATTTAATGCTCTTTGGAAGAAACCAGTATCTCTTCCCTGCGTGCTCTTTTAGCGAGCTATCCAGGGCAATTATCCACATGAATTCGAACATACAGGTAAAAATAACCAATGATCGCATAGATAACAAGGCATACACCAGCCCTGAAAGTGATTCAGCAGTGAGCAAAGATGTTAATCCATCTTCGAGTACTGATGATGGCTCAGAAGATCTAGACACTTCGAGTACTAACGGTATAAAAAATGGAAAAAATCAAACACCAGAGAGTGACTCAGACTACGATCAGGAGAGCAGAGATAGTAGCTCTGATGCAGCCTTCAGCACCTCTCCAGCACCATCCACCAATAAAAATGAATACCACTACTACTACACACTTATTCTTAACTTTCCTGTTGCAGAGGTTCCCTCAAAGTTTTCTTACAAAGCGAAAGACACGCTTATCCACTTTCTCCACATAAAATTATACGGCCTAATGTATGCATACATTTGGTCTGATAAGACACTGCCCCCAGACACTCTGAGACGCATTGGCATCTCTCATGGGAACATTCTGTTCCACTGCGAGTTTAGAATCCGAAAATACTAAAGAGCAAAGAATCTTTAAAATTATGCAAGATGCCAAAGAGAGCAGAAAAAAAGAAATAGTCACAACACTTGGAAACTGCCCGACTTCGCAGACACATCTGCACAGAATCTCAACCGAGGATATGGCATTTGTCTGCACGGTCTGCAAAGAAGTTCTGCTCAAGAAACACATCCCCAAACACATATGCGAGAGCCCAGCAGAAAAAAAGCCAGAGGCAGAAGATACCCTGTACTACGACACGCACTGTGCAGTGATAGACCAGGAGAGCGGGGTAAAGTGCTCGCGAAGTCTCAACTGCAAAGTGCACTCTATTTTCATGAAAAGAGCGATAAACAAGAGATCCCAGCCGTTCGATGCTCTGCTGAAGAAGTCGATGGAAGAGAGAAAGAAAAGAAAGATCGAAAAAGACGACGAAAAAGCAGACAAGCGAGAGAAGATAACAGACGAGTGCCACAAACTCGAGGATGTCATTTGCAGCAAGCTGATGTCTCATATTCCAATAATCGAAAAGACCTTCTATCTTCCCGAGATAAAGTTTGACACTCTTGCCGTCAGAAGTTTGTTCTTCCAGCCTTTGAAAATATATCGGATGTCCCAGGAAAAAAAGCCTAATAAAAAGTAAGAGTACACATTCTTTATTTTTGGCCTGTCCGCTGGCAATTAATTTCATCTGTGTTCTGAATTAATTAAAATAAATCTGTCCATTTAATTCCATCTTGACGCTTTTTATTTTCCAAATAAATCCTCTTTTATGTGGTCTAGTGCGCTATTTAAAAGATCTTCAGAGCCCAGCACAGTGTCAAGGGTGTAGCTCCAGATGGACTTTGTGTTTAGGCTGGAATTAAGGAGGAGGGCTGTGAATAAGCCCTCTCTTTCTGTTGCCACTTCCTTTCCGAGAAGCTTTGCGTAGCTCTCGCATATTCTGATGTGGCTCTCCAGAGCCCGTATGCTTACATTGTCTGTTTCCTTCTGTCTTTTGTAGTACTCTTCAATCACTCTTTTGCACTCGCTTGATAGTTTTACTCTTATCTTCTTCCTCTCTTCGATGAGATCTCTTATGAAAATGGTGCTTTTCTCTTCAGGCTGCTTTTCTATATTATTTACTGCTATTTCCTTGTCAGATGCGAGGAGACCATCCAAGCACATTATCAGATCAAATCGGCTGAGAAGTGGGGGTGGAATTTTGAGAGATTTCAAAGCGCCTTCAGTTTCTGTGCTGTGTCTTCCTGCTGCGATCACTGTGCACCGTGTGTCCAGCTTCACAAGGATCCCCGCCTTGGCTATTGTAATGGTCTGCTGCTCCATTGCCTCCAGAATTGATGCTTTCTCTTCTTTTCGGAGATCATTGAAGTCATCGATGCAGCAGAGTCCCCGATCTGCCTGCGGGATGGCTCCTGGCTCGATTATCCAGTCGCCGTTCTCCCGGACTGCGCAGGCAGTCAAACCCGCTGATGTGCACGAGCTTCCTGTTGTTCTTACGGCAGGTGCAACGGTTTTTGATGCAAAGGCCAGAAGTGTGCTCTTTCCTGTTCCTGTTTTTCCCACGAGTAGAATGTGTGAAGATATTCTGTTTCTGCTCTGCGTCTCCTGGTACAGCTGCTCAGTCATTGTGCTCCCATCTCTGGAGGTATTCGCGCTTTCTTCGTCTTTATTCGCAGACTCTTTTAAAATATTCTCTTGTCCTCCTATGGTGCACAGAATCATTGCGAGCTTTGTCTGTTTGAGTCCAGCCAGCGAGGGTGCATAGTTTTTTACTATTTTCATTAGCAGATCGTATTCATTCAGCGGCACTTCGACCAATTTTGCGTTATTTTTTTGTTTTTGGTGGCTTATCTCTATTGCTCGGATGAAATACTCGCACTCTATGGGGCATCCTGGTTTGATTCTGTGCCACAGCACCTCCACCACTCCTGTGGCTCGGATTACCTCGCCTGGCTTGCACGTATTTATCAGCTTATTGTACAGCTGCACATTTATTGTTCGCGGGAGATATATGTTGCTTCTTTCTTGTATTTTGATCTCCTGGTAGTCTGTCTTCTTGTTATTTACTGTTTTGAATTTGAGGAGCCCAAGCTTCATTACCGTTCCGTAGACAGAAACGAGCTCATTGTAGTGAATCGACCGAGGATAGGACTTTAGGTCGTACGCCACTGGGATGTTGAACACTCGCGTGTTCTCTGCGCACGCAGATGCAAGGATGCGCATGGCACTCTCTGGGCACTCGTTGTACGCTTTCATGATGTCAACGCACCCGTCTGGATTGCTCTTATCTCCATCTACTACGCCCCACTGCGCTGGATTAACACTATTTTCTCTTTCTGTGTCTTTTGTTTTTCCGCCATTCTCTTCTATTTTTGTTCCACAGCTGTTTTTCTTCCCCTCCATTCTTCTTTCTTTTTTACTTTTTGTGTGTTTTATTCTTTATGTGCTGCCTCAAGTCTGACTTCGTTTTTAGATCTATTTTGTGGATTATCACAGTGTAGTAGACGGGTGTGTTGTTGTATACAACACAGTGGGAAGAGTTGTGGCTGTTTCTCCCAAGCTGGATAAAAAATGACATGTTTTTGATCGATAGCGATGTTTTGTACGAGTGTATCAGCTTGTTTGCATTCTCTTTTGTCCAGGGGCCCTTCAGCGTAAATGGGCGTATTCCAGCTCTCTTCTCCTTGAGGTTGTAGCACCCAAAGAATCTGTCGTAGATTGAGCGTATTCTCTGTATTCCGTATTTATTGTACAGCATTTCCTGCCCTTTCATCTTGTTGTTCAGCTTCTCGTTCTTTTTTATGAGGCCTATAATACTTTTAAAGTCTTCGATTGAGTAGCTCCCAGGGCTGCACTCTTTGATCGCCAGCGTTCTCTTCTCCTCCTCCAGACACTCGCTGCACGCACACTTATTCTCTGTGGTGTATGCCATTCGGGCAAAGGCCCCGTTTTTCAGGTTGGGCATTAATATTCCGGTAGATGCCAGCTCTTTTCCTGATATCTTTTCGAGATGCAGCTTGCTTTCCTTTGTTATTCTCACGGCATCCTTATCTACTGTGCTGTGGCCAAACCTCTTTGCGATGCAGTTAAAATATTTTATAGATACCTCAGGGCGTATCATCGAATACTTCTTAAAGCGAATCTTCAGAATCTGCGCACAGGACGTGTGGCACACCAAATGCTCCTTTCTTATGAACACCCTTTCTGCAAGATTCACCGAGCATTCTTTCATACAAACAATCGAAATAATAATATAAATAATAATATAGCGAATGGCAATATATTTATTGCACACAAAAAGTCTCAAAGAGGGCCCATCTTCATTGATTGCACAGAAAAAGAAGTGTGCATCTCTACACAGCGGTGAACAAAGAGACTCAGGCTGGTCTGTGCGATTTACTGCAGCATTTCAAGCAAAACCACTAGATAAGAAAAATTGCTAAGTACGGTGTAATCAGGGTTTATTTCAACTTATTTGTTGAAAAGGTGTAGAGTTCTGCTCTAGACAGATTATTGCCTTTGTGCCACTATGCTGAGTATGCTAGCCCAAAAATACTGTTTTAGAAGCTATAAGGCTCATTGTGTGCTAGATACAAATTAAAGTTTCTTTGAGAATCTTCTTGATGTACTATAAGATTTAATAGTCTGAGGATATTTTTGATGAATTGTTCTAATTCCACTGATGTACACTGTAAATATTACGTGCTCGCACTTTCTATCTTACCACAGATGCAGGGTGGTAGAGTCTTTCTCTGATCTTTAAAATTTGCCAAATGATCAAAAATATCAAACTAAAAATAAGATCAATATCTGGAAGAGATGAAGAGCTCGTTTGCAAAAAGAGAGAAAGAGACAAAGCTACCGTAACAAGTAAGATTAATTTATTGTATTAGTTTTTAGATAAACCAGCAATTAGATTATATGTACTTATAAAAGAAAACAAAATGCTTCCCACAAGTATGAAGGAAGAGACCACTGTAAATGGAACCTTTGTTTTGTTGGAGAAGATGTATGAAATGCTGGGAAGCGAGAACATAATGTAGCAGCTTGCCGTGTTTGCAATTAAGTTCATTACAAAGCCATATTTAATATCACCTAGTGATCCAATAAGTAAAAGCAATGTCACGCATGAAATTACTGCTATTTCAGCCTTTCTTTTATTTCTGGATACGTAGTCTTTGAAAGGAAGGTTGAGGAAAGTGACGATCGAGTCTCTTGTTGGGTGCATCTGCAGAGGATACGCTCCAAACAGCACAATGGTCATTGCTATTTTGGCAAGCTGGATGAGATAAAAGTATCTGTTCCCAGAAGCCTCTCCAAAGTTTGCAATGATCTGCTTGTAGAAGGATCTGTCTTTGTCCGCCAGAATGTCGAGAATTGACGTGCCCTGGTTGTTTCCTCCTGCGAAGTATCCACCGTTTGCAACCAAAAAGTACGCAAATGATGCTATCGCAATAGAGAAGATGCCCACCTTTGTTCCGTTGGCTTTTGTGGGCTTGTCAAGCAAAGAAAAGATTTTGACCATGTTTTGCTGGCAGCCCAGACCAAATATGTAGAAAGAAAGGGCTGAGAATATGTCCCAAGGGTTCTTTGTGTACGCCTTGAGCACATCCTTCTGTATTCCCGTGCTGGGGAGCAGAACAGAAAGCACGCCCGAGAGCAAGACAACCAGAGACAAAAACACCACAGATATAGTCGAAAGTATTGAAATAAATGCGAGCTTTTTCAAGTTTTTCTGCATTGCCAAAAAAGTTGGCACGATCATTAGCACAGCGCTGAAAGCAATGTTGTATGGCAAGTACTTTATTTGCTCTTTCAGCCCCAAAAACTCAGATATCCACGTCTTCAGAATCAGAAAATAGACGAAAACAGCCCCCAGGCCCTGTGCTCCAATGCATGCCTCTGCGATGTACCCCAGCGCAGGGAACGTGTTTTGGCACACTTTGAAATAGGACGGGTCTTTAGTCTCCAGATTCTTTGCGCAGTGGACAAGCTGGAAGAGTGTGAACGCGCACACGGACGATATAAATATTAGTATTGGCGCCGATAGCAGGTATCCCGAATACTCAACAGCCGTGGGCAGAGTTAGCACTCCAGAGCCAAGGATTGATCCTACCATGGGAAACGTTGCTTTTGTTATTGAGAGTCCTCTTTCTGTTTTAGCGGTCGTGGTTGCAGATCTCATACTGTATTAAAATTTTTTCATTTGGGGCTATTTATATATTTCCCATTGGGAGTTATTACTTAAATGATCTTTAGCTAATAGAGAGAATTTTTTCAAATTGTGGGAGCCCCTTTATTGGTAAATCAATCTCCGTAAAAGCACACATGTGAAAATATGCTGCATTTAGCACCAGTGCACTGCAGAGCATGCGGTGATAATGGTTGAGCGGCTCTAACACTCTGTTTAGCGCCAGGTTTTCTCTTTGCTGCAGATCGATCTGTCCAAACAATAATTATAGCAACTTATCTTTACCATAAGCCAAAGCGATGGAACAGCAAATATAAAGAAAGATTAGCACATTCAATCAAACTGATGCACAACTGCTTAAATATTTGCAATCTCAGCATGCCTATAAATGCACAACGAGCTGCAGATAATCACAAAAATAAGAAAGATAGAAGGAGTGCTAGTTTAGGCCATAGAATGCGCCCATCTCGTCTCTATCTTGAAATGGACTCTCAAAGATCTCTAGTGGTGTAGTGTCTAGTCTGTCCATAGAGACTCTGCGCTATCCTCTGCTCTATAGCCATCCTCCATGCATCTGCATGCAGTTTATTTGCAGAAGATGGTTAGATATATGACTTTAATAAATGTTTGCATTTTTATTTATTTTGTATGAACATAGTTTTATTCTATTCTTATGATAACATACTCGCTGCTCTTGCGTATGGTGTTCTACTAGTGTACCTCGGATTTTACCTCCGAATATACACCAGACAGGACTTATACTACATATGCACATCTATTTTTCTGCTGAGCACAGACATCTCCCTAGAAAGGACCCTTAATGCGGTCTACTTCTATTTCTACTTCATTATTCTGCTCGTGCTGCTTCTCATTGCTCTTTCCATTCTCAACCTCTGCTACTCTTTAACAGACAATGTGGTTATAACGATGTCCTCCACCATATGCTCCTTTGTTTTTATGATTATCTTCTACCTCCTCACAAACGAAGAGATTCACATTCTGTCGCTTCTTGTAAAAATATTGCTGTTTTTTATCATTGAAATGATGATAGTAGCCATTATAGTGATGAGCCAGAATTTATAAATATAAGCAGAGAATTGTACAACCAGATAGATGTTTGTCCTGTGTTTCTTCTTCCTGTGCATCCGAGGCCTATTGCCGTTTTTAAGATGCGCACGGGAGATATAAATAAAGAAAAAGAGTAGGGCTTTTTATCTTGCTTTTGCGCTTCTTTTGTGCTGTCTTCTCAGCGAATTTTTATAATATTAAAGAGCGAGAAATATTTAGTTCGAAGTTATTTTATTTCTGGATGGCGCACAAAGAAAAAACAGTGGAAGAAATATACCAGAAAAAAACACCGATTGAGCACGTGCTCCTACGGCCAGATACATACATAGGGTCTGTCCAGTCAGAAACAAGGAACATGTACGTATGGAGCGAGAGCGCAAAGAAGATGGAGCGGAGGGAAGTGACATACACGCCAGGACTGTACAAAATATTCGATGAAATACTAGTGAATGCTGCAGATAACAAAACAAGAGATAAGAAAATGAAGGAGATACGCGTTGAGGTGGACAAAGAAAGCTCAACAATCTCGGTGTTTAACGACGGAAAGGGCATTCCCGTGGTTATGCACGCCAAGGAGAAGGTGTATGTGCCTGAGCTGATATTCGGGCATCTTCTGACGTCCTCCAACTACGACGACGCAGAGAAGAAAATGACGGGAGGAAGGAATGGATACGGAGCAAAACTCTGCAACATTTTCAGCAGCAAGTTCATAATTGAAACAGCGGATGCAAAAAACAAAAAACTGTTCAGACAGGTGTACACAAACAACATGCTCTCTAAGGAGGAGCCAGAGATTGCTGAGTACAAAGGCCCCGAGTACACAAAGGTTATTTTCACGCCTGATCTTGAGAAGTTCGGAATGCAAAAGATAGACGAAGACTTCATGTCGCTCATTATGAAGAGAGTGTACGACCTCGCAGGAACAGTGGGAGGCATCTCAGTGTACTTCAACGGAGAGCTTATTCCCGTGACAGGATTCAAGGACTACATCAGGCTCTTCTTTGACAGCGACGTAGAAATCGCATACGAGTCAAAGGACAGATGGGAGATCGCGTACGTACTGGGAGACGAGCAGTTCCAGCACGTCAGCTTTGTAAATAGGATATCAACGCCAAGAGGAGGCACACACGTGAACTACATTGCAGACCAAATCGTATCAGCAGTTGTGGAGCAGGCAAAGAAGATAGAAAAAGGGCTCGTGGTCAGGCCCGTGCAGGTAAAGGCAAACATTTTCCTGTTCCTCAACTGTCTGATAGAGAACCCTGCGTTTGACTCGCAGACAAAAGAAACCCTCACCTTGAAACAGTCATCATTTGGATCGAAGCACTCTCTTGGGCCCAAGTTCATCTCGGAAGTGATGCGGAGTGGAATTGTGGAAAAGTCTGCATCGGCAGCCAAGGCAAAGCAAACCCAGCAGCTGAAGAAAACAGACGGACACAAAACATCGAAGCTCAGGGGAATTCCAAAGCTAGACGATGCAAACAACGCAGGGACGCGATATGCTGCACAGTGCACACTAATACTGACAGAGGGAGACTCAGCTAAGTCCCTGGCTGTGAGCGGGCTGTCCGTGATAGGCCGAGACAACTACGGAGTGTTTCCTCTGAGGGGTAAGCTCCTGAACGTAAGAGAGGCAACACACAAGCAGCTAATGGAGAACCTGGAGATAAACAACATAAAGAAGATCATGGGGCTGCAGCACGGAAAAGAGTATGCATCAGCAGAGAGTCTAAGATACGGGCATTTGATGATTATGACGGATCAGGACCACGATGGAAGCCACATCAAAGGGCTTATCATAAATATGCTCGACCACTTCTTCCCGTCTCTCCTGCGCATCAAAGGGTTTTTAATGGAGTTCATCACCCCCATTGTCAGAGCAACGAAAGGGAATATGTCCCGAGACTTTTTCACCATTCCCGAGTTTGAGTCGTGGAGCGAGACAGCAGAGGGCCGCGAGAACGGATGGCGCATAAAGTACTACAAGGGTCTGGGTACAAGTACCGCAAAAGACGCAAAAGACTACTTTTCGAATCTCGACTTCCACATTAAGGAGTTTACGCCCGCAGATCCCATAGACAGAGAGAGGATAGAGCTTGCATTCAGCAAAAAAAGAATCGACTCAAGAAAGACGTGGCTCAAAGAGTTTGTGCCGGGTACGTATTTAGACAACAGAGTGCAGGCTATTTCGATAAAGAACTTCATAGATCGGGAGCTGATACACTTTTCTCTTGCTGACAACATTCGATCGATTCCCAACGTGATTGACGGGATGAAGCCTGGGCAGCGAAAGATTCTCTTCTGCTGTTTCAAAAGACAGCTGAAAACAGAGATCAAAGTGGCACAGTTGGCAGGGTATGTCTCTGAACACTCGGCGTACCACCACGGAGAGCAGAGCTTGTGCTCCACAATTGTAAATCTGGCGCAGGACTACGTGGGATCGAACAACATACCGCTTTTGCAGCCTATTGGGCAGTTTGGCACGCGGCTGCAGGGAGGAAAAGATGCAGCTAGCCCCAGGTACATATACACTGCGCTGGATCCCATCACCAGGTATCTTTTTAAAGAGCAGGACGACAATTTGCTCAACTACCTGAAAGATGACAATATGCAGGTTGAGCCCGATATGTACGTGCCCATCATACCGATGGTTCTAGTGAATGGATCAGACGGCATTGGAACAGGGTGGAGCACGAGCATTCCCTCGTACAATCCGCACGATGTGATAGATAACATCAAGAGGCTGATACGGGGTGAAGAGCCTCTGGAAATGAGCCCGTGGTACAAAGGGTTTGTGGGAGAGTGCGATGATCTCGGTGGCGGAAAGTACAGGACAACGGGCGTGTATGAGCAGGAGTCAGGAAAGGTAAACATCCTGGAGCTGCCTGTGGGTGTCTGGACCCAGAACTACAAAGACTTTTTAGAAACTCTCCTGGAGTCGGGAGACGTAAAGGATTTCAAAGAGTACAACACAGATACAAAGGTGTACTTTGAAGTCATCGTCTCCAAGCAAAAGATGAACATCGTGAAGACTTTCAAGCTCACATCTCAGATGTCAACGGCTAATATGGTGGCATTCAACAGCAAGGGGGTTCTGCAGAAGTACAGCAACACTTCTGAAATACTCAAAGAATTTTTCATTGTCCGAAAAGACTTGTATGTTCGAAGAAAAGACTTCCTGCTCAGGAAGCTGCACACGGAAATGACTATACTGGAGAACAAAGTGCGCTTTATCAAGGAGGTGGTTGAAGAGAAGCTGGTGATTCTGAAGAGAAAGTCTGCTGAGATCATCAAAGACCTGGCAGACAGGGAGTATACAAAGAAAGACGACTCGTACGACTATCTTTTGTCTATGTCGATTATGTCTCTTACCACGGAGAGAATGGAAAAGCTGGAAAAAGAAGCAGAGAGCAAGAGAACAGAGTACGCCGCGCTCAAGAATCTGAGCATCGAAGATATGTGGCTTGCCGATCTGGACGCGCTTATGGAGAATCTGGATATGACTGTGAGAGACGATGGAGCGTACAAGAAAAAAGGAAGAAAGTCAAAGAATAAAAAGCAGCAGGAAGAAGCTGCAAAAAAGGCTAAATCAGAGTCTGCAGTAGCCGCGCCTGCAAAGAAAACAAAGAAAGAAAAAGTGTCTGTGCTGGACAGCGACAGCGACATGTCTCAGACAACAGTGGGAGAGAGCCCGAAGGGGATGGGAGGCTCCAAAAAGCCAGGCAGCAGGCCAGGCAGCACGTCTGCATCGCCTAAGGCCATTAACAGACCCTGGGACAAAATTATTCTAAGCTCTGAAGAAGACGAATAAGCCCACTTTATTAATAAATATACCGGTAGTAAAATGCAAAATAACTTGTTAAAACTCTTCGTGTGTCCTGCAGATTAGTGCAGAGCTCAGTGATACTCTCGAGAATAATCACTAAATCCACGTTTCCCATTTAGTGCATGCTTTCCTTGAACAATACTTCTGTTTCTTATCTCTATGCTCATCATTTTATACCCTAAAATCTTTTTAATTTTTACTAGATCTTAAACCTCAACTATTTCCCTTATTTACCCAACTCTTATTATTATCTTCTATGTGCGCTTAAAAGCATCTGTGCTCTTTCTGGTGTATCTCTGCGTTTTGCACTTTCTGCAAATAAAAGTGTACACACAGAGTTTCTTTAGGCTTTTTTTCGCTCTTACAGTGTGCAGGATGCAAAATAAAAAAAGTGTGCAATAAATAAAACTATACGCCATCAAATCGCAAAGACAAAATTTTATTATAAACAGAAAAACACTAAACATTGCAGAAAGACAAAGAATGATGAAATAAACCTAGACCACTTTATTTACTCATCTCAACATCATTTAAAAGCACAACCGGCCGGACAGTCGAACAGATAAAGCTGTTCACCTCCAGCCTATCGATGTACTCCATCATTTCACCGGGTATTCTTCGCGGTATGTTGTTCATCAGCTCCTGTATGGAGTCCATCTTCTCTGTGTCATACTTTCTTCTGCCTTCTTCAACATCCAGCAGATACGACTCTATGAAAGCAAGGCCCTTAGACAGCTCTGCGAGAGCCTCTTTTGTCTGGGTTATTTTGTTCTCTACATCTCCTATGTTAACGTCTTTGATGTCTTCCACCAGCTGCTCCACGCCAACTTCCTCAGCCTCCTCTGCTTCTATCTGGAACGGCACGTGCGAGAAGACAAACTGCGTTGATTCGCTGTACAGAGTGTTTTCTCTCTCTAGCTTGTAGCACTTCACAGGCCCTCCGTGCGCTGAGTTCTCTACGTCAATCACGGCGAGTATTGGATCGCTGCAGTAGCTTCTGAATGTCTGTGTGATCTGCAGATCGTTTTTGTGGAGGTATCCTCCCGTGTGGTACCATCCAAGGATGTGCTCCATGTTGTTCACTTTGCTGTACAGCTTGTACATGCTCTCGTTGTAGGACGTGTCGAAGAACCAGACATCCAAATTGTGCTCTAGCTCGTCAAAAGGCACTGCGTACGAATTTGTCACATGAATCACGCCATTTTCAATGTGTCCCAGCAGAGTGCCCACTACTCTGGGCTGGTCTAGCCGCGCGTAGTGGTCGACTGCTGAAAGCAAAACTAGCGGGTGCACTACTATGGGTCTTGTGGATGAGTACATATAAACAAAATTAAAATGAAATTATTTTAAAAACAATAAATGTGTGGGAATAATAAGAAAGTGTCGGATAAGAAGAGGAGAAATGGCAAGAGTCTGGCACAGCTCGTTTTCATTTGGTTTTACAAATAGCTTTATTTAGAATGTGCTGGATGCTCACAGGTATTTTCTTCGAAGATGCCCTGAAAGAGTCCATCTTGATAGGAGAATGTTGTGCAGATTTAGATTGACAAGACACCCTACAAACATGAGGAATGTTCCCAGGACATGTCCGAGGTTGAAGTCGTGGTTGTAGAAAATAACAGAGATGAACAGGGAAAAGAACTTCATCCCTATCTGCAGGCCCATCCGGCTGTCATCCATCTTTTCAATGGCTGTTTTTGTGAGAAAGAGTCTGATGTACGCAGAAGTGAAGGACGAGATAAACATATCTTTTCTGAAATTTTTTAAAATAACGCCGATTCCGCGGGAGGTGTTGAACAGAATGCCAGACAGAATTGTTGCCGAGAGAAGGTTTACCGCAGTGATAACGAACTCGTACTGGATTCCAAACTTTTTGCAGAGAAAAACCTGCCCACCTTCCAGGGCAACCTCCATCCAGGAGTGCACGCACAGAAACACGGCTGCGCTGATCTTTCTCTTTTCCAAGAACGCCTGGAAGTATATGGTGTTTTCCTGCGTGCATATCATTTTTATAAGCGAAAAGGCAAGGTTGTTCATTTCTGGGGTGGCGCTTCCCTTGCTCTTTATGATTTTTTCAAAAATCTCTTCAGCTTCTTTCCTATTTGGGTCTACCGGGCAGTTTGCGTGGAAGAGAAGCAAGTTCTTGTAGTATCTGGCTCCCTGCTCTTTAAGAGAAAGGGAGTAGTTTTGGGCGGGCAGCCTGTTGTTCAGAATGCTTTGAAGAAAAAGCTCTTCCTCCTGCATGGGCTTGAAGGAGCGCAGATCTTTCCCAACATAGTTGTAGAGAAATCGAAGGCCCAGCCGGATGATTTTTATCTTGTCGCTGTTGTGGAGGATTCTGAAGTCGTTTGACTCGGCAACTTTTGCCAAAAAGTGAATGTTCTCTACTTTTTCCTCTTTTGAAAAGATGTACGTGAATATTCCCATTGCGGCAATTAAAACAGAGAGCGTGGAGCGGCTGGTAAGATCGTGCCCCACAATGCCCAGGGGAGTGGGGAACAGCCTGAAAGACCGCACAATGGCCATCGTTGGGAAGGAGATGTACTGCAGGCCTTTGTAGAGCATGAGCTTGTTGAAAATGTTCACTCCCGCGAGAAGAATCAAAAGAATTATTAGTCTTATCTTTTCCAGGCGCTCTTTTAGGTCTAAATCTTTCTTTTTGTCTTCCTCCACGTTTCTTTCTGTGAGCTTTGTCTTCTTTACTGCCCTGCCTCCCTTCGCTTTTGCAGACTCGTCGCCGTGTCTTTTTATTCTGAAATTCTTTCTTCTTACTCCGGTCATGAGACACGCCAAAGAAAACCCAAAAAACACCATAGACTGCGATGCAAGCATTGCGCTGTCGTCGCAAAAGTCTCTTCTAACTATCCCGCACGTGAGCATGCTTTCCGTGTAGTACGCGTTGAGTATCTTTAGCACGTACTCGCCAAGATTATTGGCGCTATTAAGAAAAACCATTCTCTTCAACTTTGAAATTTATTTTTATGAAGCACGATGCAACTAAATGTGTAAGCCGTCAGCAAACACTTTGCAGATGGCCAGAGTAGGAAAGAGAAATCCAGCTGGCACGAAATTGCTGGAAATAGCAATTTTCTGGTAAATGTGATAAGTGAAAATTAATAATGAATTTTACCTATTTTTATTATAAGCACACAAGAAATAATTCAAAAACTAGGGCTCTGTCTCTAAGTAGTCGTCAAGCGTGAAACAGATGTAGTTGCTCGAGGAGTTGGGGATGGTTAGGCTCTCCGAAGCCGAGTAGTACGTGGAGAGAAACCGCCAGAGCATTTCCCCGGTTATTGCGTTTGGTTTTTTTAACTTTTTCAGCGTGTTTGCAACAATAAAATGCCGCGCAGGCCCCTCGGGCAGTATGTCCCCAAGCGCCTTCAAAATTCTTATATTCATTGCCACTTCCGATGGAGCTGTCATTTTGCAAATATTTTCACTTCTTCGGCTATATACGCATAGAGTATATGCCCGCAAAATATTTTACCCCTGTAAATATGCAAGATTATAGAAAACGAGGCAGAAAACCGCGTGAAGGAGAGAAAATGGAAAAAATGGAGTCAGTCTGTTTCAAGTGCCCGTACACGGCGTGCGATCTTCAGTACCAGTCAAGTCTCGGATACAAAAGACACTTGATGTATTACAAGCACTCGCTTTTTGCGCCGTCAAACAAGAAAATTATTTGCGGATATCTCGACTGCACAGCCACCGAGAACATCAGAGAGCACATCTGCAGAGAGCACCCAGAAGACGCAACAGAGCTGCTGGAGGCACACGAGATCATGATCAAAGTAGGAGAGGAAACAGAGGAAATAAGCACGGCTGGGCTGATAGGGGACATCGTGCACGATGAAGGGCTTTTGGACATTTCAAAAGTAATGGAGGAAAACGGCATCATAAAAGATATCATACTGGCAACATTTCCCAAAGGAGTAACACACATTGTGGACTTTGAGACGTTCTCCGACACCAACCAAATGTTCTACTGCAGAATACCCGGGTGTGGGAGACAGTTTAAAAGCCTTATGGCGTACAAGTACCACTGCGGGAAGTTCACCCATTTGTTCAAATCGATCATTGATGACTACACGTCCACACACGGCCCGCTGGACTACGAAGAGATAAAAACGATTTTCAAAAAAAAGTTCAACTTGGAAAACCGGTTCCTTCTTGAGGGCATATCGCACCATCTGATGCGCATGCCTGACCAGCACTACAACTTTATATTCACATTCGATGATGCGCAGCTGGGACACGAAAAACGAAGACTGAAAAAAAGATCTTCTGATTCGATATCAGAGTACAGCATTGGCTCAGAGGACAGAAACGAGTACGATGACGAGGACGTGAAAAGAATGAAAGAAGACGACCACGAGGAAAAGTCTCATTTTAAGATAGACTCGATTGTCTTTAACGGAAGACAGCTTCCGCATTTGCAGAGCTATGAGCAGGGAAGACTCTCTTTTTTAAATCTGTACCTGGAAACTACTTTGTTGGCGGTTGTTGGCAACTGCGTCATTGTTGGAACAAAGGGAGAGCTCGACGATGAAGAAGAGCAGCCAGAGACAGGAAGACCAAATAACATTTTTACATTCTCAGGAGGAAATGCTGCGTTTTTTGTCCTAGATAAGAACAAGATAAGAAACGAAATAACTTTGGAGGGGTACGGGTTTCCCAGAAAGCTGATTGCACTGGAGGACAGAAAACTTTTAGTGCTGTTCAATGACGGAGTGCTTCGGCAGCTTGTTTTAACAGAAGATCTCAAACTGCATTCAGTGGAGGAGATAAAAACAAAAGCACAGATCGTTGATTTCACAGTTTTCAACAAACAGATAATAGCGTGCAGCCACAGAGTGCTGACAAATCTATCGACCAGAAAGGAAAGACCGTTTGAGTCGCCCATTGTGTCAGTTAGCACCACAAGTGAATCTATTTTGATAGTAGACTCTAACGGAAGAACCTTCTGCATCAACGGCGTCTTCGAAGATATGTGCCCAATACCCTCCAAGGTAGGGACCAATGTGGCCACAGGCTTAGGCGATAATCACGATCTCATCTTCATCAGCAACTCGCTCTACGGCCTGGGAAGGATCTACTCTATTTCCACAAATAGCGTGCTCTTAGTCTCTCCCCATGCCTGCTCAAATGCCATGCTTATAAAGCCCGGGTTTATCGTTTCCTCTGGGCTCGATGGATCTCTTTGTGTCTCTGCGTACAAAGCCGATCCAAAGGTGTACATGAAAGTGCTGCGCACAGAAATCAGAGGAGACGAGCTGTTCATTGCCACATCAGAGGAAGAGCACGCTTTGACAGAAAACGCACAGCACCCAGCCATGCTGCACCACGACTACAGAATAGCCATCCAGGGGATAGTAAAGCAGGACATGAACTTGGTTGCTGTTTTGACATGCGGGATTGTGATTATTATTGACAAATTTTTCAGAGAGTGACACTGCCTCAGATTGCGTTTGTGTCTTAGAGAACTCTTGCATAAAAATTAAATAATTTTTATTTGCATGAATATAGCAATTGTCTGTGCAGGAATGCCTGTTATTCCCTTGGTGGTGTATTTTATTATGTCGATGGCTGGAGTTTCGTCTCTCTTCAAAGTAATAGTGCCCGAAGTGTTTGTAATACTATACGTTGTATTTATAGCCATAATTATAGTAAAAAAAGCAGAAAATGAAGAAAAAATAAAGCAAAAACAAAGCTAGCGCGGGCCATCCAATTAGGGAGCAGAGAGATAGCATAGAAGAGAAAGGAGCAAGAAGCAAAGATTAGGAGAGTCTACAAACTCTTGATTTTTATTTGCTACAAATTATCAATAAATTTTTTAGTATTTTAAACAGAACAGCTGCAAGCCTGTGATCATTCTCTATTTGTGCCACCCCGTGCATAACTCCGCTGTGCACGCTTCATTCCGCTCGCAGCGCAAAATAAGGATGATCTACTGCATGACACTTAAAGCGCATGAACTCTACAAACGCATGCAGACAGTGCTAGATTTGGTCGAATTCGTTATTTAGAAACTCGTCTATGCTGATATCTTCTACGTCAGCAGGCGGCATGTCCGTCAGTATGTTTTTTATTTCGCTGTTGTCTTCTATCTGGAGGGTTTCTTTTTTGGCATCCTGTTTGTTAAATATTCTAATAAATGCTCTAACAAGCTCGTTTATCGTTCTGTCCTGCTGGTCTACCTTTTTTTTAAGAATGTACACTTCATTAGCTAACTTCCTATTTATTTCATTGATCGCACCCATGTTGCTGTGTAAGTGTGCTTGGCTTGTTTTCAAGTCGAACAAATCGGAGCTTTTTTCTGCTGGAAGAAGCGTCTTTCTCTTGAGATACTCCAGGAGGTGCGGGGATCCTCTGATGAACTTCGAGTTTACAAACTCGTCTAGCCCCAGCCTTTTTTCTTTCGAAAATCCGTAGTTGTTGAGCTGCCGGATGAACGTGCCGTATTCATCTGACTTGCACAGCTTCGGAAAAGTTGTTCTCATAAACTCAGCCTTGTCCAGTATCATAAAGCCGTTTCCCTCCTCGTTCCAGGCGATTGAAGGATATTCGTCGGAGCACACAACTGTGTACAGATTTCTAAGAAACTTCATCATGGCAATAAAAAGAAATTGCGTTTTTATGTTTTTTTATGGGCATGCGAGGAGTATTTAACAGAGTGGCAACAGCTGTTTACAGCATAGTTGAGAACATCACGCTGTCAGTAGCGCCAGAAGAAGTAGAGGAGATAAACGAAGAAGCGGAGGACCTTCTTAGGATGACAAGGGGGGAGTACAGGAGCATATACAGAAATCTAGCGAAAATAATGAATCCCAGTAAAAAGATGCTTTCCTCTGAAGACATCCATGCGATCTCAGGGCTCCTGGAAAGTGTCATAGACCAGGAAGACCTGCCAGAGTTCTCTGAGCACATGGAATACATCAAAGACATATCACAGGGAGTGCCCATAGACCCAGCGCAGCAGTCCAAGTTCTTCGAGTATATTTCAGGTAAGAAACCAGCGAAAAAAAGAGCAGAGGACCATGAAAACTCTTCAGAGCTCGTAGAAAAAGTAAGAGAAGAGCTAGCACACGAGCAAAACAACCAGAAAGAGCCAGCAGAAATAAGTGCACCAGTGGGAACAGATAGACACACAGAGTATCAGATGGAGGGCGTGCGTCCTGCAGTGATTCCTCTGACTAACCACAGCTGCGACAGATGCAAACCCATTTTGAACAAATGGGTGATGCTGCCCGATGGAACATACGAGTACAAGAGAGACAGAAGCACAGAGTGCGGGAAAAGAGTGTCCGATGAGACTGCGGGCACACAAAAGAAAGGGAAAAGAGAAGTGCTGATAGGAATACCACCGGGTGTCATTCCCACACACACGTACATGCGAATGAAAGAGCAGGGATTTATAAAGGAGCAGGAGGCTCTGGAAAGAGACAGCTACCATGCCTCTCAAACTGACACTCTTTCAATGGTTCTGAGAGATCTGAGAAAGGAAAAAAAGAAAGAGGAGGAGGAAATGATAAAACAAAATAAAAGAAAATTCCTGGAAGAAATGGCCAGATGTGATGAAAGAGACAGGATGGAAGCAGAACGAAAGAAAAAAGAGCCAAGAGAAACCTCCCTAGAAGAGCTAAAGCAACAGGTGAGAAAAGAAAGAGAAGAAAGGAATGAAACACCACAGAAGAAAACACCAGAACAGCAGAAAGCCTTTGATGATATGATGGAAGATGCGATTAGAGAAGTATCCAAGGGGATGTACGAGCCGCACCACTACAATACGGTGAAAGAGCTTGATAAGACCTACCTCGAAAGACAGAACGAAGAAAAAGAAAAGAAGTCTGGTGGAGTGTTAAACAGCATGCACAGCCAGATGGACAGTAGAATAACTGATGGAATAACTAGCCCGCAGAGAACAGGATCATTTACCAGTAGATTTAATGAAGATGGAAATAAGAGCACTAGCGGAGTATTAAGTGGCAGTACTTCATCTGCAGGACCGTTTAGAACAGGCGGTAGTATTGAAAGCAATAATCAGTTTGCATTTGGAGGAAGTATTAGCAGTGCTTTTGGCGGCTTAAACAATGCACCATCTACGAATAAGAGCGAGGGAAGTGCTAGCCAGTTCTCCTTTGGCGGAAGCAGTAGCTTAGACATGTTCAAAACATCTGGAGCATCTGCAGGACAGCTTACTACCACAGGTGGATTAGGCAGTGGAAACACTAGCTCAATTTCCACAGGATTTGCAATGGATAATACACAGGTAGAGTCTTCCTCTTCAATGGCATCGAATGGCTCCATCAATATTCCAAAGGACACGATTGGAAGCATACAGAAGAATAAGTACAGTGCATCCAGCAGCTTTTTGGGCAGTGACGACAATAGATCGCCTTCCATTATCCAAGACACAAGCCGAATAGGCACTCCATCCATGAACCCAGAAAGTCCATTTGGTGCTGCACAGAGAGAATTCTCATTCACAGGGCGCAGTGAGGGATTGGACAGATTTGGCAGTCAAAAACTGGGAGAGTCTGAAGAGACTCCTATCCACAGAAAAAGACAGATGGATGAAGATGGAAGCTCCTCAAAGGCACAGCCATTCTCAGGACACTCTGAGTCACCACTCGAAGCCTTCCAGAAGAAACTCCAGCAAGAAAAGCAGGAGGGACAAAGCGCAAGAGCAAACGAGACAAAAGATACAGCAGTGCAGGGGAGCCAGATGAGCAGTGGTTTATTCGGAGGGCTATCATCTTTCACCGGTCAGAGCAGCTCAGCATTTTCCAGTGAAACCAGAGAGCAAAAAGCAGCTGATCAGATAAATATTAGCGGACAAAAGAGCAATCTATTCAGCAATCCAGCGCAGAGAGCAGACACGAATGCTTCTAATGCGCTGAGAAGCTCTATGAGCCAGGGCACTAACAGCACCCCAGGCAGCATGTACTCCAATATAACCCGAGAATTTGGCGGAGTAAGCAATAGCCTCACCAATAGCCCAGGACAGAATATTATGACAGGAGCATCCGCCAGTATAAATAGCAGTGGTGCAGGAAGTGTAGCTAATCCATTCGGAAATAGCAGTGGAGTGAATAATAATCAGCTAGGGAGTGGAATGAGCAGCAATGTATTTAGTAATATGGGCAGTATGAGTGCAGGAAATAACAATAGCAGCAGACCTGTAAGTGTGTTCTCTAATCCCAGCCAGAATAATAGCAGTGCATTCTCCAGCTCTCCTCAGAGTAATGCTAGCATATTCTCCAATCCATCGCAGCAGGCTTCTTCTGTGCAGCAGACATTTGGACTAAATAACGCCAACAATGCGGGGAATGCGTTCAATAGCGGTAACTCTGATCTTTTTAAGGACACTTCTGATGGGAACTACGTAAATCCTTTTGCAAGCAAGGAAACTGTTAGAAAGCGCACATCCTTCTTATTCAAAAAATAAATACAAGTTTCACATGGTGTGTTGTTTCATGAATGTCGATATGAAAGCAATGAAGGAACTTATCCCCACCCTTCTTATTTCTCTGTGCGGGCTTTTCCTTATGTCTACCACGCTGTACGACCACATAGACAGGGACTATGCACAGCCCATGCACTACCTTTTCATTCTCAACTCAATGCTCTGCTTCAAGAACAACATTGAGCTAAACTATGCAGACATGATGAGCAGCTCGGTGAAGAAGGCCCGGGCGCACAGGGGATCTATTTCCTCTGTTGACCTGATTGAGTATGTCTTTGACTCGGGCCTGAAAATGTTCTTTATCTCTCTTTCCTTCGGCATTTTAATTGGTGTGTGCTCGAACTACAAGAATGTCCTTGAAATGCTTCTTTTCAACGATCTGTACAAGAACTTCATTCTCATCGTGAGCACAATCCTCTCTTCTTTCTTTGCCGGAGCATGCAGCTGCATTTCCACCTTCATTTGTGTTATTATCTGCATCTTCATGAGCATTTCCTTCAGGTTCGACTCAGACAACATTGTTCTCCCAATTATTGCGTCGATGTCTGACTACATATGCACAATGGCGCTAAACTACTTCTCGGAAAACATTTTCATGGAGGCCTTTCAGAGATATCCCTTTTTGATCGACAACTATCCGTCGGGTGTTCTTCGCCCTGATGTCTACCGGCAGATATTTGCCACTAATTGTGCCCTCATGGTTATAACGGTTAGCATTCTGGGTGTGCTTTACTACCACTCGAGAAACAAGTGCAATCTTCGGCTATTTAGCGCATGGTCGCTCTCTGTTTCTTTTGCGATCACCATGCTCGCTGGGCACATCATCAATCTTGTGTCCCAGGACAATATGTGGCTCGGGTGCATCATTCCTTTGTTCAACGGGATTTCAGGCTCGATAATTCTGATTTATGTGGGGAAGCTGACAACCTTTATCAACTCAAAGGGCTACGAGAGCGATGGAAGCGAAGTCATTTCCATCAGCAGCTACGAAGACTCGCATAATGAAGAAAGCGTGAAGAACCCAAAAAACACAACTACTCTTTGTACCATAACTATTACGTCTTTCTGTCTCTCTGTTGTTTCCTGTCTCCTCCTGAAGTTTTTCTTTGTCGATATGCCTTCTTTTTATATTTTTATATTCGGAGTTCTTCTAAACTTGGAAGTCTTTCTTCTGTACCATATGGTGAATGCAATTGTCTCTGTCCTGCAGTATTTTAAAATGGATATCTCCTACCACATCGTGCCCCTTCTAAACGCTCTGAGCGACTTGCTTGGCATATGTCTTCTGGGCGGCGCTGTTTTTCTTATAACATAATGCACCGATCGAGCAACGGCTTTGAGTAAAACTGGATTCTGTGTGAGACTTAGTTTATGCAGATTATAATAAAAATAAACAGACTACTATTATTCTCCACTTCTTGTGCTTTAAGGTAAAAGCAGTTGCATAAACAGCATTAAATATTAGCTAAGATGTCATAAACGTGCCTGATTAGTAATTACAATGCAAGCTCTAAGCTGTGGATCTGTTCCATCCAGAAGAAAAACAGTGTTTGGATTTTTGCAGCTTTTTGTCTAAATTCACTATTTCATAGGAGAACTGAAGTAAATAAAAATTTAGTACATAAACACACTCAAAGAGTACAGCTTAATATTTCTGTAATAAAATTTGCAAATTTATTTAGTTGTCTAGTAGTAGACTGTTCTCTTTACAAAGATGTATAGGTGCATAAATGCAGCAGGGAGGTATGATTTAATCTAATTTATTTCATAGAACTGTGCTCTGCTTCTGCTATATGAACGGAAGCCACCAGACATACATCTGCTCAAGGGCTTCTAGCGACATGCTTTTTTCTATCAGCAGACAGGATTTCGTTATCTCGTCATCAAAGTCTATTTTTACTTTTATTTTTTCAATGACCTGTATTGCCATTTTTGCGTTATTTCTTCCCGTCCACTCCCCCAGAGGATCGTGCACAAATCCTAGCAAGTTCGCCACGATTAGATCCTTATTCAGAGACAGGAACTTGAGAACTCTTTCCAGAGTAAGCTTGTATTGCCCTTCTTCCTTTGTGGGCCCAAATGCATCCACTATGTTCTGTGTAAGCCTGAAAGGAACTGTTTCAGGTACTCTCAGAGACAGGCCCTTATCAAATATACAGTTTAGATCGACATGGACTGTTTCTCCCGTTTTTCCATCGAACAAAATATTCTCGCAGTGTCTGTCACCAAGCCCCATCAGATATCCAACGGCATTCATAACGGCGTATGTTATCGTGTACCTCTTTCTGGCCTGCAGCCAGTCAATGGGCCGCGTAAACTGCCGCAAAAAGTACAGAGAAAATACAGGAGGCACCTTCTCCAGCAGCTCTTTGAGAAGGGTTCTCCCAAGAGTTTCTATCTTCTTATTGAAGCCCATTGATACGCCTATACTCTTCAGATCAATTCCTTTTTCTCTGTACAGCTCATCGCATATGCTTTTTAAAGTGTGCAGATTTTCAACAAACTCCAGTATTCCTATTTTTTCTGTTATTGGGACAACCGTGTAGACTCTTATGCTGAAAAGCTTGCATTCATTGTCGCTCTGGAAGAGCGAGTTCAGAAGCATGTTCAGGTCCATGAACACTGCGTCCTTGCGAAGATCGTCATTGGCTTTGCACAGAAAAGACTTGTAGCACCCTGATGAGGTAAGTGTTTGTATTTTTTTCGGTTTTTGGAGAGTTGGAAAAACAAAAACAACATCAGAGACAGAAATAATCGCACTTGTGAAATCATCACATGGAGCGGGTATTCCCTTAGTAACAGACAGCGATGACCCAAGAATAGTTGGAATGTGGATGACTCCACTGCCTGCTGTGTACATGCTTATCCTGCTCACTATGCCTGTAAACTCAATCACATCCGAGAACAGTTTCCTAAAGGAGAAGGACGTGCGCTCTATAAGGCTGTGTATTGCAGCATTTTTCTTGTTTTTAAACAGCGCCAGTGTGCGCCATGAGAACTCAGCGGGAAACTTTTCTATCAATCTCAGTGAAATTGTCGACAGAAGATCTTCCACCACTTTGTCTTTATGCGACAGCCGGGTCAGTATTTGCATGTAGCACCGTCTGAATATTTTTATGTCTACTTTTTGCAGAGTTTTCTGCATCTCGGCCGCACAGTCTCCCACATTCTCTTTTAGGAAATGTGCATTGCTTGTGTCTGTTATGTAGTGAATTAGCTTGGGAACTATTTCGGGCGCTTTTTCGTGCCCGTACTCCAGAACCTTGCAGAACATCTTGAAAGCAAGCACAGGCTGCTTCTTCTCAAGATACTTTCCATAGTTGAAATATAGCTGCTCATTTGTTTTTAGCGATGCTAGTGCTGATTTGTATATGTCCTCAGATTTTTCAATTTCGGTGTTCAGAAGGATCGCTTTCTGTTTATATTCGCTCTCCTTTGGCAGATGCAGCATGAGTCTCTGCAGGGCTTGCTTAGCTAGACTTTTGTTGCTTTTTAGAAGGTGTATCTTTGCTTTCTCGTAAAACACTCGCCAGTCGTCTTTCAAAATAGATCTAATCAGCAGTTTTTCTGATAGCTCGCATTGACCAGACTTTCTTGCTATTCTTACGCCGTGCAGAAGTGCATCTTTCTCAGCTGCTTCGACCTCTTCAGAGTGCGGAAAGAGCATGAGAAGCTGTCTGTGTATTTCAGAGACCCGCAGTGATTCGTACGATCGCGCTGACTCTCTTCTGCTTCTAATGATATTCAGTGCCTTTGGGAGTGGCTTGTTGCCCTGAAGAATTTGAAAATCCTGCAATATGTGCGCGTCGATTAGAAATGTTTTAAGCGAGTCAGGGTCTCTGCTAAAAGTGTGCAGAGGCATTGTGTGTGTCCACTGCTGTATTGCCTCTTCTGCTTTTCTAAGGATCTTGTCAACTGCTGAATCTTGATTATTTTGGCCACTATTTTCTGTGCTGCTGTTTAGTGATTCAAATAGCTCTTTGTACTTTGAGTCTTTTTTTTCTGGCTGCGGCAGCTGTCCGAGAATGTCCTTGCGCAGATACGTGTAGTTTGCGTGTTCGTTGTTTATCTTCAGCTCTGCTGCTAGGTTGACAGGCGACAGCTTTTGAATGACAGCATTGATTCCAAAAACAGCATCTTTTTCTTTTATCTGCAGATGCTCTTCCTGTATTTTTGTCAGTATATGGTCTCTGTCGTTCAAATTTTTGCAAGCTCTCAGCTGCTCTTCCAGCAGCCTAATTGTAAACTGTGTGTCCTGGACGTATTTACTGCACATAAATAGTTCTGTGCTGGTGAAGACTCCGGTCATGCACAGACTGTTTGATATCGCAGTTCGCAGAATGTCTGGATCAATAAGAGCGCCGCCCTGCACGTCTTTAAAAACAGGCACAAATTGCTCTCTGATTTCTTCTGTATTCAGTGGCTTGAGAGAGTATATCATCAAAAAGAGATAAAACTGCAGGAGCGATACTTTGTGTCGCTGCGGCCATTTCTTCCCTTCAAGCGTGTCGAGTATGGCCAGTGTGTTCTCCAGAACAGGAAAGATAGAGGCTCTTCGTGGAGACTCTGCCAGAACTGTTATCAGTCCTATCAGGAAATTAATGTGTGATATTCCTCGCCTGTACGCGCTCTTATTGCACTTCATTTTTATTTCTGATAGTCTGCTCGCATCTATTTCTATGACGTATTTTGAAGATTGCAGTCTAGTGATAAACTCGGTGTGCTCTGGCAGATTCTTATGCAGTGGGGTGTCTTTGATAAGCTCCTGGATAATGTACAAAAGAAGATCGTCGAGTGTTTCGTAGTAGATGGGAATCAGTATGTTTGATATGAAAAAACTCACTATCTCTGTTTTTGTTTTGTGCTCCATGTCAATCAATCCTATCGATTTTTCCAAAAACAGGTCTGTCTTGTCATGGCCTTCTTCCAGGGCGTCGAGCACCTGAAGCCCAAAGTATGCAAGCGACTTCAGTGCATCGCTGTCGCGCGAGTCTATGTACATCCGGCACAGAGATACTATCAGCAATTTGCATTGAGGCCAGTGTGTTTTTTTTAGCTCAATGGCGTCTCTGTGCTCTGATCTGAGGACAGTTGGGAGTATTTTTTTTATGGATAGAAAAGCAAAAAATGACCTAAGTTTTAGGTATGGATGTATTCGCACCACGCACTCTTCGAGCGTAGAGGCGTCCTCTAGATAGAGAGAGACGTCTTTTCCAGCAACCTTCTCAATGGTTTCTTTCTGCTTTTTGGTCAGTTCATGGGCAAACATGTACTTGTAGTGGATCAGATCGTGAGAACAGGACTTCCTTATTAGGTCATCAAAAAACCGTTCTTTAGCACACTGCATACTGCAGCACTGCATCTGGCTCTTTATGTTTCCCGTGTGCACTAGGAACAAAACTACTTCCTGCAGCTCGTTGGTGCTGGGCTCTCTTTCTGTGTAAAAAGCCTGGACCACCAAACAAATTAGATTGAAAATGCAGTTGCCAGCAGGAACTATCTTATCTTCTAGTATTCTTCTCGTGGTAAACAGCATAGACATCAGAGAGAATCTTTGCACCAGCTCTTTTGTGTCTATTCCACACACGGCAAATAGTTCCTCTGGTTTAGGGAGTGCTATATAGATTGTTGCAACTGACTCTGGCCCTGTTTCGCATATTGTTCTTTTTATCTGTTCTTTTATTGTGTTTTCCTCTTGCAGAACGTTCTTTTTTATTTCATAGATGTACATCGCATAGTATATGGAAATGCTTGGCGTGTGTGCATAGTACTCATCAATCAACCCGTTCTGCCAGAGTCTTGGCGCAAGCAGATATTTCTCTCTCTCTATGAACGCCTTTGCTGTGGGGTATCTGTACAGTTTTGATAGTGTGTTGAGAATGACGGTTATATCATCAGAGGACCGGTGCAGCAGATGGTCAAGGATTAGCGGCTTAGCCACTTCCAGACACTTGGCTTGTTTTTTTCCTGTTGCATACACAATATTTCCTATGTAGAGCTCGGACTCGTTTTGTTTTGTTTTTTTCAAAAGCTCATGCGTTACTAAAGCAATTGCAAACCCTATCTTTTTTGTTCCGCGGACTGCATAAAGAATGTTTAGCACCAAAACTATTTTTACAACGGAAACTTCCTGGCACGCAGTCTTGGATATGCTGAGGATGTAGTCTTCATTGGGCCCATGCATAGGAAAGTACTTTAGCGATGAGAGGAGCGCCTGCATCGCCTCTGTCTCTGGTTTTGACTTTTGTTTCTTTTTTCCGATTTTTTTGATGGTGTTTACCACGTACATTAAATACTTGTCGCTTTGATATTTTTTCAAGTGCATTGCTCCTTTTCCTATCAGGCTTGTATCATTCAGGTGGCACATGAGTGTTTCGTTTGTCAGTCTCTCCACTTCTGCGTCTATTCTGAGCTTGTGCATGAGATAGAACCGAAAGTGCTCAGTGTTTATCTGCTGGCTGCACTCAGCTGCTGTGCACTGAACAAATTTTGCATTTGTTTTTGAGGCTGGATCTGGACGCGATATCTCTGCCGTGACTGTTTCGCTCTCTTGCTCCAGTATTCTTTCTATACAGAATATGACAGGCATTAAATGGATGGTTTCTTTGTCTCTGATAAAAAAAGGCGATACAGTGTGGATGTCGATCTTTCTGCTTTTGAAGTTCTCGTATGGACACGGCTCCTGCTCGAGCAGCGCTAGAAGTACTTTCTGGGCTGGATTTGTTTTTTCGTAGGGCCAGTTCGTTTTTATTTCTTCTTTTACGGTTTCTGCAAATTCTTTATTTTTTATTTCTCTCCGCAGCAAGTCTACTATTTCTTCCAGATACTCCTGCTTCCCTTGGTTCCTCCGAGCTTTTACTATCTTTACCAGCTGAGATGCTGCCTCAACTTCCAGCTCGGTTATTTTTGATTTTTTTGCTAGATAGAACAAAACCCGCGTCTGCACTGCCTCATTTGACAGCGGTATTTTGTGTTTTTCATCGCACACTATCTCAAATACATCTATAAACTCGCACAGGCCTGTTTCTTCTTTGTGCCCCAGCTGCACAGGACGCGATAGCACATATTTTATCAGCCTTAGACCGTCAAACTTTTTTTTAATTCGCTCAAGTGAATACGAATTTATCCGTTTTGCTATTTGCACTGCTTCTTGCATAAACAAAAACACCTCTGATATTTCCAGCCCGTCTTCCTCTACTCTGCTAAGAAATGCGCTGCAGATCTTTCTGCTCTGGATTTTTTCTAGGGACTGGAGAAAGACGCTGGGAAACCCCTCTTTTGAACTAACATCACACAGTGTCTTTTCTTTTGTAAATAATTCATCCATAAAAAAGAAAGTTTATTCAATTCTTAATATTGCCTCTTCAAAGGATCCTATGTCCAACTCTCCCTCTTCGGTTGGGTACACGTAGATTGAAGGCGTGTCTTTTGGAATGGCCACTGTGGCTGTTTCCAAGTTTGTTTGCTTTCTCTCAACTATTTCGAGGTTCTGCATGTCAAATAAGGAAATAGACTCGTCTCTGGACGCAGATACAATGTACCTGTCCTGCGATGTGCTCAAGTTGTTTATCTTGTCCGTGTGTATCTTCTGTGCTCTTTCTTTCTCTCTATTTATGGAGAACACCAAGGTTCCATCGGATAGACCAGCTGCAATAGTATTTCCATCAGACGAGATTGCGGTAATTTCAGACTCGGTGTTGAAAATTTTGTTCTTTGCTCCCTCCCGCATATCCACTGCGTATACAGTTGAGTTGTTCGAGAAATAAATCATATTTTCATTCATTGATAGGGTAGCACTTTCTTCTGCAATTTCAAAAGTGTTTTTTTGCGTGTTAATGTCCCACACTTTGATTGACGTCTTGTCGTTTGACACAATGTGCACTGTGTCTGCTACAATGTTCCTTATTTTGGACTCGTGGGCGAGTATCACCATGTCTGGCAAGAAATGGTTTGTAACGAACACTCTGTATCCTGCAATTGTTCCGTCTTCATTTGAAACAAAAACCCAGGGATTGTCATTTCTGTCAGAAACTGCCAAAGAAGTGGGCACTCCGTGGAGGAACACATCGTGGTGCACATAGAATGCCTCTGTCTCCTGGTCGAATATGTAGGTGTCTAGTCTTACATCGTTTGTGTCTGAAACGAGTGAAAATGCGATTCTGTCGGTGGCTCGTATTTCGTTGTCCTCTTCTTCCTCGCTGCTTATATCTTCGTACTCCTGTGGGAGATTGACAGACTCTTCGATTGTTTCAAACAGCTCCTGCGGGTCTTTTTCGTAGTAGTGGGCATACTTCTCAAACACGTCTCGTGTTGGCGTGTACTTAATCGGAAATTTGCGCTGCTTTCCGAGGGTAAGTATACTGGACTGGATAATCATAAAAAAATATTCCGCAGAGCAAGAAAAAATACTTCGCGCAAAGCCAACGGAATTTTATTTGCACACCAAAATGTTTTGCATTTCGGCCCTTGGACAAGCTGGGATCATTTAGCCGCCATCTTTGGGCTAAAACTCTAGTTTTGCACAGCTGAAAAGTATGAAATATGCGATAAAATAGCCATAATGAGAATAAAATGTAAATGTAAATCACTTGTTTATTCACTACATGCTGCTGATATTGCTCTTAATCAGTTGGCTGGTGCTTACAGTTCAGTTTTTAGAAATGCTACATTGAACGAAAAATACTTCTGCTCTGGCAAAAGCGACCTGTTCCCTATGGCGTGCGTAAACTCTCCATATTTTAGAAAAAGAGAGATGGGCTCATTGTTGCCGTTGTTTTTTAAAACAGCGGACTTATAGTTTAAAACAGACGCTGAAGGAGTCTTAGCTATCAGCAGGTAGTTTATCTTTTTGTCTAGCTGTATTGACGTGCTGTCAATAGATGTGTGGGCTGTGTACATCTCTCTATTGTAGAACGTATCGTAAACCTCTTTGAAGTTTGTTGCAAATAGAAGAATTGCCTCTATCTCTGCGATGGTTAGATCGCTGATCAGAGAAAACATCTCTATGTCTTTCTGCAAAGGGCCCATGAAACTGCATTCTTTTGTATCTGCTTTCTGGCTCTTTTTCCTGGCGTCTTTTTCAACTATTTTTATGTTGATGGACTCCAGGCCTTTTTTTGCATACTCGTCAAAACACATGTCAATGTAGCTCGGAGGCACAAGAGGCATTTTGTAGTCCAAAAAGTCTGCACCATTGTTTACGTTGGAGTTGTATCTTTCCCTGTTTGCATTTGAGCTCTCTTTCTTTGGCTCTTCGTAGATGTAGAAGATGGGATATGTTGAATTAGTCAGATATTTCAGAAGAGTAGTGTGCAGCTCGTCCATGCTGTTGTGGTGCGCATCCATTACATTCTTCATGTACCTGTTCATTCTCTCTCTTAGCGCCTTATACTCTAAATCACTGTGCAAGCTAGAAGAACTTTCTCTGACTAGTTCGACCTTTTTATTAGGCATTGGCGCTTTATTATCCAGCTCAGAGATGTCCTTCATGGTTAGGAACTTGTATGCTAGAGACATTGTGTACTGAGACTTGATCAAAATCTGCGAGGATCTCTCGTCTTCCATAAACTTCAAAACTCTGTAGTACGTTTTTCTTGTCAGGTTTCTGCAAATGCTACTTTTCTCTGCTCCTGCCTGCTTTTCTTCCTGTTCCATCTCGCTTTCAACTATCCTTAGCCTTTTTCCAATGATGTTTTCTCTTTCTTTTTTATTTGACCGCACGTTGCAGTCGTTTTGCACCAGATCAAAGATGCACGGCGTGCACAGCAGGAAGTCCATGTGGTATATGGCAGAAAGATCGCTATATTCTGTTTCCTTGATTTTTATTATCGAATTGTTTGTGTTTCTGGATATGCTCGATCCCTGGCTATGTGTGTCCTGCAGAGCAGGGCTCTTTCTATTTTTATGTATCACGCTCAGAGCTGGATAGATTTTCTCCACTTTTTTTGCAGTTTCTTCGCTGCTAATGCACATAAGTATTCTGTGCATGTAAATGGCGGTGTTCAGCTGTTTAGCTACATCCTTCATGGTTTGGGTGTCTCTATCTGCATCTTCTTTGATTTTCTGCAGATCAGCAATTTCTGCGTACATTTGATCACTGGGCGTATAATGAATTATGTCATTGAAATATTCACTGGAGAGGAGGATATTCCAAAAATGCAGCTCCTTCTCTTTTTTTTCGTTTAGATTTACCACACAGTGGGTTTTCTTGCACTTACTGATATTTGGTGAAGTATTTTGCAGATCTTCTTCGTACACAAAATTAGGGCTTTCGATGTAAACTATCTGTTTCATTGTGGTTAGACAGTTATAGCCTATTTTGCATAGATCTTTAAAACAGCAGCTTTCTACTATCTTTTTATATCTGCCGGGCTCTGGCATGACTATCTGAGTAAATCCACAGGATAGCAGGAAGCCAGCTTCGTTTTTAACCGTGTACCCAGAAATGGAAAAATAGGGGATTAGGCTGTATGGCACTACCCCCAGTATCAGAGGAGGGTTGTCCATCCACAGCTCTCGAAACTGTTTTATGTATTTTGATTGACTAATCCGCCCATTTTTCATTTTCTCATTATTGTCTAAGATTGCAGCTCCAATGCCTGCAACATTCGATACAAATGTAACTATCACCATTGTAATGGGCGTGATGAGCCGGCATTCTAAAGCAGTGCTGGCCCTTGGCTCTAGTATAGAGTTCTGGTTTGTTGGGCTGATAATTGCACTATTTCCCGGATTAGATTGATTTGCAAATTTTCCAATGGAGGTGTTGCCATTTTGCAGAGAAAATATGCCTATAGCTGCTTCAAAGTACAATGGGTGCTCGTTCTCTTCTATTTCAGGGTCCACTACTGTTTCAGTAGAATTATAAACATTCAGCCGCAGAATTCCTGTGTTCAGCCCGCTTGAGAAAATTCTGCAGCTCACTCCAGGAAATCCTGTGCTGTCCAAGATGCAAAATGAACTTTTTAGAATCAGCTCCACATTGTCAAGATATATGCACTTTACAATGTTGTAGGAGGCTGTGATGCAGCTGTGGTGATTCTTTAAGTATTCTAGCAGCCCCGCTATCTCACTATCTATTATATAGCTTAGTAGAGTGTCTTCTAAGTCTCTTTTTTTGCCTAGAAGACTTTTGTGGTATACTGGAAAGCTGCTGCTGTAAATGGAGTCTTTCAAAGCCGTTTTAGTCTCTGGGCTGCCTATAACATCTAGAAGACGAATGTTATCTCTAGCTTTTTCTGACAAATGATGAATAGAGTCTAGATCTATCTTCGTAAGTGATATTCCGATCACCTTGACTTTTTTTTCCAGAGCTCTTAGTTTTGTCTTTTTTATGTTGATCAGCACATTCTCCGTATACGACACTTCCGTAAATCCTAGCTGCAACTCTCTATCCATGCTTTTCTTTAGACTTGAATTTTTTATTTGCTCTAGTAAGGTCGTTATTTCTTTTAAGCCTACATTATTTGACCCCATATCTGAGCCATTCTTGTTTTTCTGCTCCATCTTCTCCAGTCTATTCAAAAAAGCTCCTGCAAACGAAATGTCTTCCATTCTATTGATTGATGTTATGTACCGCACTGCATACAGGTCGTGCACATCCAGAATAACAAAGTGTATGGAATAGATTTTTGTGCTGTCCAACTTTGACAGAAAGTCTACACTTTCCATAATCCGCCCCTTAATGACAATTTGTTCCAGCTCTGTTTTAAAGGGCTTATCCGTTTCCATCAGCCCTGCTAGACTTTCAGTAACCAGTCTTTCTTCTGTGTTGTACTTCTTCTGAGAGTATGGAATAACGGACTCGCTAACACACAGGTTTTTCAGCGATAAATTATTTGCTACTATGTCCTCATAGAGTGCCTCTGGTGTCAGATGGTTGAAAATTGCGGCATATATTTTGAACTCATCAACGCTCTCCAGCACTTCTTTCAGCCCGAGCATATCTTTGTACTTTGCAGTGAATGAATGCACTGGCCCACTCTTCTCATTTTCGCCAAAAATACGTTTTATATATTTTTCTACATATTCGTTTGTGTTCACTGTGTTTATTTTCAACTTTATTTCCTTTGCTTTACTTCCACTGCTAGACGCACTTCTAAACCTATCCATTATCTTTGTTACAACAGTATCCACATTAATAGCATCTGAGTTCGTATGCGCCTTTTTAATCTGCGAATCGGCAGTGTCGTAGATGCCCTGGATGTATTTTCTGATGAACTCCTCAGATCTAAGATCTACTTCGGAAGGGACATCTTCTGCTTTTTGTGCTAGTTTGCTGCGAGTATAGTCCATAATGGACGATAGAAGAGACCCCATGTAGATTACGTTGTTGAACTTCAAGTGAGTTACCTGTCTGTTATTTATGCTAAGCAGAGACCTGGGGAAATAGTCCAGACACACATTTGATATGATTATTTTGCTAACTTGGCTCCCATTTAAAAGAAAGAAGTCGATCAGATAGTCAATTTTAACATACTCTGGAAGAGTGTTGTATCCAATTTCTAGCTCTCCACTGCCTGATACAATCTCTACAGTGTCAATGCTGTTCTTGTGCATTTGAAGGTCTCTTAGAATGTCACTGCTCTTTTGTGCGCTATTTTTCAATTTATCTTTTGTGAATATTTCTGCATTATTCTGTGTGGTGTACAGCAGCAGTCCCATGTTTATGTCAACAGTAAATGTTCTGTCTTTGTAAAACCAGTACAGATTGTTCTCATTTGTGCACAAATTGTAGTAGTGGTCCAAATACAAGTCCTTTGGCCCTTTGTCTTTATCCCTTACCTCTGATGATTCTGGATTGCTGCTGTCTCTCCACCAGGGCAGAATGTTTATCTTTTTCATCTCTTCTGCATCTTTTACTAGGATGTTCATAACTTTCTCTGTTTTTTCTGTGTTTTCTAGCATGTCTATTAGCTTTTTCTTGGGCTTGTCGTCTATAGAGATTTCTGTGCCTGCTCTGGATGCTTTGTCTAGAGTGTCTTTAAGCGCGCTTACGTCTTGTTTGGCCTTATCTCTATCTATAGATGTGTCTCTGCTTTCGCGTATGGTCATGTCCAAAGGAAGGTCTTTTACGTTTAATCTAGCAATCTGTGTGCTGTATCTGTGTATATTCTCGCCGTTCTTTTTTAACTCTTTACATTTTATGCTCTCTTTCTTGGTGGAGTTGCTGCACAGAGTTGTTATTAGACTTCCATTGGACTTGGAGAGAAAAAGAAGGTTCATTTTTAGCTTCACCAGCCAAATTGCAAAGCCCACGTCTACTTCTTCAATCGACAAGTCAGAAGCCAGAAACTCTGCACTTTGCACTTTTTTTACTTTGCTCAAAAACAAATTTGCTACCTCATTGGGGGTTCCCTCTAGGCTTTTCAAAAAATCAGAACTTGTTCTTTCAATCTGGTCAGAAGAGGAATTTGACATCATCAGGGCAATGGAGTAGTAGATAGCATTGGACACAGCAACCTGGAACTTTCTGATGTTTGTTCTTTTAAAACCGGAGCTGCTAGCATTGCCAATGACTCCTATTGCTTTGTCTTTTTTTCTTTTTAGTTTGTAAACATCCATTATGCTGAATATGGACGTGTTTGTTGTTGTTCTGTACTTGCTGATGATAATTGGCGACGATCCTTCATTAGATTTTATGCTCCTGTTGAGCAGTGGCTTTCTATCAGGCTCTTTTTTGTCGTTGAAAATATTGTACAGAATAATTCTGTGATTTGTGTACGAAGACCTTTGCACTTGACTGCTGTCAGAGGCTAGTCGCACGCTGTTTTCATACGTAAACTTTTTGGCTGTTTTTTTCTCATCTGAAGCAATGGCTTGTACCAGCTTGTTGGTTGGGGCTAGTATTTCTCCCATAACGTATATTTCTTTTGGAATAATTTCATCTGCTACAGCGAGCTTCTGCATTGTACTTTTATGGTCTAAATTGCTTGGTATGTCCTTTGCGATGTTCTTAAGAGTCCAGAGCATGGTCTGATAGCTATCCTGGTATGTTTTTGTAGAAATGAGCCAGTCAAAAAAGTTTTCCAGCTCCACCTGCTCTTTGCTGTTGACCGTTCTTTCTTCTAGCTTTTTTTCTAGCTCTTCAAACTCTTTTTCCAGCACTTTCTCGTACGTGGATCCATACTGGGCTGAGCTTTTGCCAGAGACATTATTAAGGCCTGCGTTTGAAAATCTCTCTCTAAGACTGCCAACGGATGAAGCCTCATTTTCTATTAAACTTGCTACTACAAGAAAAAGCACTGCGAACTTTTTTTTCATGCTAATCTGCATTTTCTGCCTTATATTTCTTTAAACAATCTTTTGATAAGCCACAACAAACAATAAACTGATCAATGTTTTGTTTTGTTTGCTGTATGCAAACAGTCACACAAAAAACTTATTCTTTACATAGCACTTTCTTTTTCCACTGTTTTACTCTACTGACATTTATTAGAAAATTGACAGGATAAGAAAGAGTTAAATAAACACAAAAATTTAAACTAGTAATTATTTGGCACTGAGATGTTTTATTTTCTGCGAATTTAAGTTTTTCTTGGCCAAGAGAATAGTAAATAGCGTAGCATCTACAATAGCAAGTGTGCTCTGGATAGCTGTAAAATACACCGAACAAGGAAGAACTCTTCTACCTCTGGGTTATATCTTCTTTTTATACTCCAGTAGCTGATTGTATCTTTCCTGTACTTCTTCTATTTTTTTGACCAGCTCTATTCGGACATAGTACACGGGACAGTCTCTGTTACTGCACACGATGGGCGTATGTCTTGACTCCTGCATGTCTTGGCACTCTCCCATTACCTTATAGTATTTGTACTGTAGCTCATACAGTTTTTTATACGTTCGCATTATAACCTCTGGATAGGCTCGCGTGCACACTTTGCACACAGGATATTCTCCGCTTCGGCATATTCCACACACTTTCTTTTTTTTGAAGAAGGATCCTATCCCCTTTGGCATTTCTCTTCTGCCGTTTTCTCCTCCCATACATCCCGTATATCCCGGGGGCGGAGAGAGCAGCTCATTGATGTCTTTGATGACGTACGAAAGCAATCTTTCCAACGGCTTTGTAATTTGGTTTTTCAGATAGTACAGTGTGTCAATGGGAAGATTGTTCTGCAGTGCATACACAGGATCTTCACTTCTTTCGTGCAATGGCCCTTTTCCTGCGATAATAACGTACGGGACTCTGTCGCCCAGCCCAGGCCCTGTGCCCTCTCTTTTTCTCATTCTCTCAGCAAGGGAAACATGCGCAAGAGTTACCGCGTACTCTCCCTCCTGTTTGCTGATTGACTTCGTAATAATCAGCTGACTGATTCCAATATTATTTTTTAGCAGATCATCTACTCTTTCTCTGATGAGCTTTCTCGTTCCCTCTACGTCTCCTTCCAGGAGCACTTTGTCAATGCACTCTTTCATGAGCTCTCTGATCAGGAGGCAGTTATCCCTTCGTACAGTTTCAATGCCCTTCGTATCAATCCTTCCAGGATCATTTGCTGATGATTTTGCACATCCTGCATACCTTTTCTTATTCATAAGCACAAATGGATGGTAGACTTTTTCAAACTCCAGGGTCAGCGGGTTTGGAAGACGGTTGGAAACAAAGAGAGATATGCTGTTTCCTATCTCGAAGGCCTGCTCCAGCGTAATTCCCGGCTGCGTGACCATAACCGAGTCTGTGTCTCCATAGGCCACGAGGAGTTTCCACTTCTCTGAGCCCTGAAACCCGCTTTTGTTAATTTCTTCATTGTACTCTCCTTCTACAAGCTCTTTTGTTTTTTTCAGTATTTCTCTGCCAAATCCTGTGACACTGCGGGATATAGGGATGCACGCGAGCCCGGTTTTGGCAGCACCTGTAAACCCATAGACAGAGTTAGCTGATACCTTCAGCGCAAGCTGCCTGGCGTTGAGTGATGCCTTTAGTTCAGGGTCTTTTGTGTTTTTAAGTTCTTCTCTAACGGCTTTTCTTCCCTGGAGAAGGTTTGTTAGTATCACAGGCAGTATTCCTGGCTTTACCTCGTTCCTAATGAAGTAATCTCCTGTTGGCGACTCTATGTACTCATTCTTCTCCATTTTCAGCGCTTGTTCTTTGCTCAGCAGTGTTGTATAGCACAAGTTGTATGCCATAATGATGGAGGGGTATAGAGACGCATAGTCCAGCACAACCACGGGGCTGCTATAGAATCCTCTTTCAGGCTCCATTACATATCCGCCTTCGTACGTCTCTTCCTGTCCCTGGACATTTGGCAGAATGTAGTTGAGTGTCTTAGCCTGTCTAAGAAGCTGCGACATGACCCGAATTCCCTGGCCTCTGTTAACCAAGTAGTCAAAAGGCACTCCGGTGACTCTTGCGAGCTCACAGTAGTTGATGAACAGATTTTTAGTGAAAAGAAGACGCATCGGAAGATACGTATCTTTGAGACAGTAGATGGCCAGTCTTTTTCTCGTTTCATCTGTTCCGTTGTAGAGCGTTTTAATTTGTGTGTAGTGCACATCTTCTTTCTGCTCTCCCAGGAAGTGCGCACTGACTGCATTGAGCGAATAGCTGTGCAAATTAAATTCTTTTTTAATGATATCGAGCATGTCAAAAACCATTCTGCCAGGGACAGAAAGAGTGGTGGGCGCTGTGAATGTGCTCGTGCTTCCATTGCCAGATCCTTTGCTGCTGTTCTGCGAGTTCTCAGGTGTTTTATTTTGGTTTCTGTTTTGGGCTGCTGGCTGCGAGCAGTGCACAGCCTCCCCTGTCCTGGAGAAGTATTTGAACTTTTCGAGAGATAGCGCATTGGCTCTATTCAGAAGGTACGGCATGTCAAACTGTGTGATGTTGTATCCCGTGAGGACATCAGGGTTCGTGGATGCAACCCACTGCGACCAGCCCATGAGCATTTCTCGCTCGTCTTCAAATGTGAAAACCGTAACGCCTGGGATGGGATTGATGGTTTTTGTGCAAAATAAAACTTTTTCCACAATTGCCGGATTTGGATATATAGAGATAGCATTTCCTATCTGCACAACAGGATCTATCAGGGGACTCGGAAACCTGTTCCCCTCTCCTATGCACTCAATGTCCAGACTGAGTATCTTGATGGGTGGCAGCCTGGGGATGTTTTGGATGGGGAAGATTGCATTGTGATTTACCTCGAGTTTGATTACGTTCTGCTCCTGGCGGACTACCTCACTCACATTGCGCGCCTCCACGTACCCCATGCCAACGATTCCCTTGTCCACCATAAACCTGATAATGTACCCCACGCTTGCTTCGAATATAATTCTGTTTTTTTTCTTGTGGCTACTGCTCTTTGATCTGTCTGCTTTCTCGAAGTAGTCGCGAACTGCTGCGCTAGCTGATGCCATTGCCTTTGGGTCTCTGATGAATATCTGGAGGTACTCGTTTGCTTCTTCTGCGTATCCGTATATGTTTGACTTTGTGACTGTTTTTACTTCGTCTATTTCTTTGTGTGCTTTTCTTAGTGCATTTTCATCCACTTCTTCATCTTTCATCTTGCTTATGTAGAAGTAGTGGTGGAACCCTTTCAGGGTGCATTCTACCCCCGCCCCTGTCTTTGTCTTGCCCTGCAGATGGACAAGCGGTCCGTTCTCTGTGTTGCTGTAGTGAATGTGTAAAGGAAGAAAAACAAGGCTACAACTGTGCATGGGAGCGTGAAAAAAGAGAAAATAAAAATACCAATTCGCAGGAAATTAGCAGCCATTCTTTCACCGCTGTGGAGAAATAATAGACATAGCGTGCATCTCATAGACTCGTCATCGCAACCTAAGATATCTCCATAGCTCCTACAGGTAATAAAAAGTTAGTAGATAAAGTATCTGCGTAAAAATAGCAAAGAAATAATAATATAAGCTACTCTCTCATACAGCCGTAGATATTTATGGAAAATGTAGAGCTAAAGAAAAATAAGTGCAGTAGAGGAGCGATCTCTACCGGATAAGAGCGCAAAAGAATAGTAGTGTTTAATCTGCTGATTTATTAGCTTACTCCTGGGCGGGTTCTTCCTCTGCGGACGCCTTCTCTTCTTCCCAGTCTTCTTCGCTGTCTCTCTCTTCCTCTTTCATCTTCTCTTTCTCTGCAATGCCTGCTTCTATCTCTGCAGGGTCTCTGTAGAAGTATGAGTCTGCAAGAAGGCGGATCTCCTCGTCCAGGTTGATGTCTCCCTGCATGTACTGCACAAGCTGCCCAAGAATGAAGAAAATTGCTCCTATTGATGTTGCGGATCTGTTGTTGCATGGAATGATGCAGTCGATCAGCTCAATGTCGTTATCCGTGTTGGCCAGGGAAATGCATGGAACGTTGATGTACGATGCCTCGCAGATTGTCTGTTTGTCGGTGAATGGATCAACTGTGATAATTAGCCTGGGCTCAGTGATTCCCTTTGTTGAAGACTTGTTGGTGAATGTTCCTGGCACAAAGTTTGTTGTAATGTGCGTGGCGCCAACTGCTCTGGCGAAGATTCCTGCGGGCTTGTATCCGAACTTCTTGCTGCTTACAACTACAATGTCTTTTCTGTTTTTGTAGCTCACTATTATCTGCGCAGCAAGCACGAGTTTGTCCCAAGTCTTCTGCAGATCAAAGACGAACACTTTGTCTGTTCTGCGGCCAAATGCATATTCTGACATTTTGTGGTTCAAGCTCTGTCCGCCCAAGTGGCAGGTTGCTGCTATCATTAGCTTAGAGTAGTCTGTTGGTATTGGTATTCTAGCTGCACACATTTTTCTCCAGGGGGAAAAGAAAAATAAGAAAAAACGAAACAGAGAGCCAGAGAAAAGCAAATATAAAAATGCAAAAATAAAACAGAAATTAGCTGGGAAAGATAGGGGATGGCAGAGGAGAATGGAGGAAAAGGGCAGAGTAGAGATGAGTACAGCGGGATGACGGCAGAAGAGAAGAGCGAGTATTTAGAAGGTAAGCTGGATGTAGTGAAGAGAGCCTGCATGGAAAAGGAGAGAATATGGAGGAAAGAGAATGAGAGCATAAGAGAGGAGAGGATAAGAACAGGGGAGAGAGAAGATGCCATGAAAAAGGAGATAGCTCGGTTGCGAGAGGAGCTGAGAGAAGAAAAGGCAGAGAATAAGATGAACAAGCGGATGAAAGGAGAGAGATACTCGCTAGAAGCTAGGCCAACTCTTAGCCAAGAGGCTGCTAAAGAAAATAGTAGTATCAGCCAAATGATCGCTAGTAAAATTGGTGCAGAAAAAAACGAATCCTCTCTCTCACAGCTGGGCAGATCTGCTCTTTCTTTGCACACGTCTAGCAATGACGGGGCATCTGCTCTTCCAATCGAGTGGATTCTCTCGCATTTCAAGGGAGAAATAGTATTTGGTCTCACGGGTTTGTCTCCTGGGAAGCTGAAAGTCTTTGGAAGATTTTTCAAGAGAGAGTTCGACTCTTTGTACAACAAAAGGGAAGTTCTCATGGGAATTGAGGCAGTTGGGAAGAACACAAAACATCTCATAAAGTGCCTTCTTTATCTGTCTGATAGGCCTGAGGTAATATCGCACCTGCTTCCGTATGTGTTTATGAAGCACATTGTGCCAGATGGGAGGCTGTACATCAAAGAAATTGTTCACATTTTGTACAAGGTTGGAATAACGTCTTTCCTTTTTAGCGCAGACACAATTGAAGACGTAAAAACCTTTTTCAACGAGTGCAAGGAGTCGAAGGAGCTTCTTTTCCTTGTAGAGTCGCTTGCCAAGCGCAGCCCCAGGGGAATATCTCGGCTTATTTCTGAGGAGTACATGGTAAGCATATCAAAAACACACAAAGAAACAGCAGCACGGATAATTCGGCTGCTGAGCGGGTGCGGGGCATACTCTGGGCCATCAGAGGCTTTTATCGCTCTGCACGAGCCGCCTGGTGCATCGCCGTACGAATCACCAAATGGCGAGCTTTCATTCTTTCTCTAGGAAGACAAAGTATCCAGAGAAATAGAACTGTTCTAAATAAAACACAATAGCACACAAAAACAACAGAAACTGCTAAACGCCTTACTATGTTCATTATTCCTCAAAGCAGCAGTAATCAGAAGAGATTGTACAGAAGTTATTATGCTTTTTGCGATTACTCTTTAGATTTTAAACTGTAAACGCACTCCTTGCTTATGGAAGGATAAAAGTCGAAAAGACAACTTATTATTTATTAGTGATCTCTGAAATTATAAAATATTCATTTTTATTGAACTGCAGACTTTTTGTGCAGTTTATACAGTGATTAACTAGCCTTTTTACTCTAATGAATATACTCTAACTGGCTAAATGACAATGCAATACATAAAGAGCTATACCGGCAGTATATCTCGAGAGTATTCGCATGAGTCAGTTCTAGTAGATCCCCAGAATCACAGATCGCTTGTGTGTTTGCTATCATACAGTAGTGTACTAGCTCATTTACGCACCTAATATATAGCAATAATAACCTTAATAAGTGCTCTTCAACGATAAAATCCAAATTAGTTTCTTAATTTACTAAATTGATTATGCATAATCACTGAATAGTTTTACTTTTATTTTTACTTAGCTCAGATACTTCTTTGAAAACTCCTTGTAGTACTCTTTGCTTTTTTCCACGTCTCTGTTGAACATGTTCAGCCAGAAGAGAGCCTGGAAAGGTGTCGTGATCACAATGAAGTCTTTTGGATTTATTCCTGCTTTTATCTTTTTGTACAAGCTCTCATCCACTATCATCTCAAACAGCTTGGCTGCCACTTCTTCAATGTGCCCTTTTTCTATTATAAACCCATTCACCCCGTCCTTCACCTGCAGAGGCAGTCCTCCTACTCTGTAGACGATAACCGGAACCTCCTTCATCAGAGACTCAGTTACCTTCACCTCGAATCCCTCTGATGTGCTTAGCTGGCACGTAATGTACGCATTTCTTAGTATTATGTTCAGCAGCTGGTCAGAGGGAGGCAGTCTTACCTTCGTAATCAGGTGTTTTATTTCCTGGAACTTTTCTTCGTTTGTTTTTTCGCTTACCTGATTGAAGATCGTTGTGGCCTCTGGGTCATCCACACTCCCATGCCCGCACAGGACTAGCCCCACATCAAAGACCTCATTCGGATAAGATGCTTTGTACTTGCAGAAAAGCTTATAGTACGCCTCCAATAGATCGCTGATTCCCTTGGAGGGATCGAACCTTGCCACCTGCACAATGTACTTTTTAGTGAAGTTTACTGGATTTTCTCCATTGTCAAGACATATTCTGTTGAACACATTCTGGTAGTAGTCGATTGCTGATTTGTTCAGCGGCTTATTAAGTCCATCGAGCTGGTCAGTTCCTGCGGGCTGGAATATCACTTTGCTCGATGGCACATCCTTTGGAACAGCCGATGGAAATGGGTGGCTTACGAAATAATCGGCGTACTGGATGCTCTCCCACAGGAAATTCCACACATTGTCAATTGCAGAAATATTTCCATTTTCGTCTTTTTCTCCATTTATCAGCTCTCCCCGTATTTGAATGTGCGATCGGTAGATGATCAGCGTATTTGGCGAGTCTCTTCTTATCATGCTCGCGAGTCTAGCGACCTGGTGGTCGTCTAGCACCACAACTGCGCTGTTCATCACGATTCTCTTCCAGTTGGAGTTGTAGTTGCAGCTTAGCCAGCTGTCTATTTTATCTTTGTCTTCTTGTGTCATCCAGTTACTGGGTGGTTGCTCTGGTGCAAACATTTCATTTTTGTTTCCTTCATTTGGACTTGTTTTTATGTCTTCTGTTTCTGGACAATTTGCATTTTTATTTTGTGCGGTGTTCTGCAGGACATTATGCACCTTCATTTTGGTTATGCTGAAGACTGATGGCCTGGGCGTGCAGACGTACCACGATGCATCTACGCCCAGCATTTGCATGAATCTAATGAGCGAGTGTCTCATCAGTGCCACTCCGCCCCCCTGTGCGGTTGAGCTGAAAAATGTTATCTTCTGCTGTTTTTGATTGATGGTCTCTGCTGCCTCCAGAAGATCTTTCATCAGAAGATCGCCTTTTTCTCCAATTGACACTTTGTAGTCTTCCAGGGAGCAGTACCAGATGTGCTCGCTATCCACCCCGACTTTGTTGCTCTCTTCGATGGTCAGCTTGGGGAGGTTTTCGTGCTTGAAAAGGTCTGCACACTTTCTGGCAAGCGTTTCCGACTGCTGGTCAAGCGGGGCGCAGTTCCCAGAAAAAAAGCTGGGAAGAATGTCGTACTGCATCCACATTATAGTCTTAATTCTGTCTCCAAAGTCATTTGCCTGGAGAATGTCTGCGGAGAGCCCGCACCCCATTATTTTTACTGTTTTTCCTTCGGTGTACTTCTTCAGCCAGTCGTCTATCGCTTTTATCAGAGCTTTGCATAACTCTTTCAGTATTTCATCGCTGAAGTTGTTCAGTGCCAGCGTGTCCTGGTACGTGCTGCACTCGTTCTTTGCCTCCTCCAGGTCGATTACAGGAGGAGACTTAGAAAATATGCGAGTGACCTCTTTTTTATCTTTATCTTTGTTTTGATTTATCTGTTTTTTGCTTTCCTTGTCTGTGTGCGCGTTAAGGGCTGCAGCGAGATTTGGAGCCAACTTCACTTTTTTTTCAAGGACTATGTGCATGCCCTTTAGCGCATCTGTTTCCGGATCGCCTTGAGTTGACGGAGACTGCGATAGCTGCGGGGACATCCCAGCGGGTGATGACGCGCTGTGGTCGTCATCGCTGTTTATGATGGGGAATGTGTAGTTTTTTGTTCCTAAAACGAAGAATCCATCATTTATCGTGATGCTCATGTTTAGTGATGGAGTCTGGGGGGCAACCCCCATTGCAATTCCTAAGAATATAGGTCTATGCACCATCCTGTGTTTCAACGCTTTCTGCTCCCGCTTATATAGACCGACCGATGTCTAACCAATTATCGCATGAAACAGAAACTGGCAAGTCAGGTTCGAGAGAAAAGATCGACTAATAAGGAAAATAACGGTGGGAGATATTCTGGCATGAATTTATTTTTATTTTTATTTCTGTGCTACTGATGTGTGGGGAAGACACTTTCATTCTTAGCTCGTAGATGTGTCTATTTTTATATTCTATTCTTTTTCTTCTTCTTGTGTTTAATGCATTACCTTCTCTTCTGTTACTGAATCTATCGTCTAATCTGTGAGACATTCTCTGTGCTATTCATTTATTGTCTATGTGTTAGCGAGCCACTCTACCATTTTATCTACTTTTCCGTACCAGGTGTCTTTTATTTTGAGATCTGCTATTCCTTTGGCAATTTCTGCTACTTCTTCATTCTTTTTTACATGTGAGTTGTATGCTGCGTGCAAGAAGCTTCTTCTGTCTTCCATCTCTGGCTCTTTCTCTCGCTCGCTGCCTATTCTCAGCACCTTTACTTTTCTGAGTATTTCTCTCTGCATTTTCTCTACATCAATATTAAACCGTAAGTAAATGATTTCTTTACACCTTCTTTTCATAAAAATAGAGTACAGCATGATGGCTCCAAACAAAACAACAAAATACGGGCTATAGCACGATAGAGCACAAAATACCAGGCTAGCTACCACACTCTCCAGGGTTCTTATCTCTCTTATCATAAACAGCGATAGAACTGCACTCCCCACCACGCCACCAGTTAGTTTTGATATGGCTACGGCGATAATAAAAACGAGGAATCCGACTATTCTTTTTCTTTGTATGAACTTTCTGTACGGCTCGTAATACTTCTCTCTGTCTTTTTCCAGCTTTTCATTCACTCTCTCCACACACGCTCTGCACAGATGGCTTGTGCTTTCGTGTGTGCTCTTCTGTTTTATTTGGTCTTTGTTGAGTTTCAGCCATTGCTCCTCCTCTGCTCTTTTTTTTTCATTTTCCATTTCGTTTCTCTCTTGGCAGACTGCGCACAAGATTCTTCTCTCTTCTGTCTTCTGATACTTTCTGTACACCTCTCTGTTCTCTATGAAAATAGGAACTAGCTCATCGCCTGCCATTCTGAAATACGACTGGCACTCTTGGCAGTACACTGTCCCCGTGAGAGCCGTTATTCTCTTGGACATGCAGTACGGACATTTCTTTTTCATTACTCTTTATTTTTTCTAGCAGAAATCTGAGCATTTTGAACACTTATAATTTCCTCAGCACTGGCGCAGTTGGAGTACGCCTCGAGAAGATCTCTGTTTATTTTGAGAAATTCTGGGCCGTATGCAAACGGCTCTAAAACTTTTTCAGCATCTTCTTTGAATCCGCAGATGTACAAAGCAGCACAAAAAGCCTCTGCGCAGTTCAGTTTGCACGGTCTTCCATAGTTGACTGTATTAGCGGCCACTAAGTACGGTAGCAGTCTGTTTCTCATTGCAGGAAGCGTGCTGAAATTTATCTCCTCCAATCTATTCCACGAGCAATCCACAACGGCAAGACCGTATTTTTCAATATATTTTCTATCAGCTGGAGAGACCGTCTGTGTGCCCTTTGGGCTAAGGACAAGCCCGCCGAATCTTCTTGTTGGCTGCAGTGCTTTAGCGTATTTTTGCTTTACCAGCTTCTCAGCTGAGCACATTTTTGCAAAGCACTGTTTCATATCGAATGAGTACAAGTATGGCATGAAGAATAAAAAATAATTCATTCTTCTTTTATGTTTTGCACTCTAGGAAAATCTTT